TAACTCATTAGGAAGCATTTCAGCAGTGCCAAGCAGCCAGCTCTTCTACAGATACTATGGACCCCCAAAAAAGCCCAGATTCCTTTTAATAAACAAAATTAAGAATAAGTTTAATTTACAGTTGTGCTACTCCAAGGAGAAGCTTTGACATCTAATGAGATACAGCAAGAGAAAGAGTCCAGTGAAATCCACGTGCTTATTCCTTTTGTTTTCTTGACCTCCAGCTCCTTTTATTTATATATGAATAATCGCTTTAATTTACTATTGTCCCATGATTCAATGATTCTCCTTGCTCACTTGCTTCGTGGGTTAACTAGCATTTGGGTGAAAAATCTTTCAAACTCTTTCTGGCTGCATAATTATAACATTTCTATTACTCGGTTACAGTTTTGTCAGCATTTCCACACCTCTCCTTTACAGATATTTCCAAACAGCAGTAAAGAAGGATGTCACTGACAGCTCACACTTGGCATACCACTCTCAGGCCAAAAATCAATCATACTCTAACTAAAATGTAAGGCATTACTGGGCAACTGTACATATCTTATACACACGTGGGAATGAAGAGCAGCTGTTCACCTTGCAAATAAGTCTTTAAAAAGTACATTTACAGTGTGGCTGTTCAAGTGATAAGACAGCTTGTAACACAGCTAATATGGGAGACAAGTTCAGGCTTGCTCTGACATTATGTTCCACTTACTCTCCAGGGAAAGGAGATTAAGCATTCCTGTCTCAGCCACAGCAGTGTAGCCAACTTCCAAGAGTAAATAAAAATAACTCAAGCCAAGCCAGGGTTTCATTCCCAGTGTTTACTACACCCCTGCTGTACTGTTTTAACAGGGGGGTTCAACCTTTTTACACACATAAGCATCACTGCAATTGCCACCACTCTATGCATTTGACACTTGCCAGACTGCCAACCTTCTTATCCTCCCGGTAAACAATCTTTTTTCCTGGGACCACCGTTCTTCCTTACCCTCTAAGTTAATGAAGCTCTTCTAGCACCCAGCACACCCTATAAACCCAGGTGCCTCCCTCGCGCTCCAGGTTCAGCAGGCAGCCAGCCCCTGCGCAGCAGAACCACCATCCTGCACTGCACGGCTCCCCTTCTTGGACATGACACCTTCCAGGCACCCAGCACCCACCTGGAGCCAGCACTTATCCTAAACCAAGGGCTCCAAAAAGCTTACAGGGAGCACAAACAAGGCATGCAAAATGGAAAAGACTCTCAACACAACATATACATATATTGGTATTGATCATACAAGGAAGTGCATCCCCCAAGTGAATGTCCCTATCATTATTTGAATATTAAACATAAAATCCAAACAATATATCTAGATATTTACACATTGCTATTACAACCATGAATTCTAGCCCTAAGTTTTAAATTACTTCATACATCTGACAATTCTTTTTACTACTCTAACAAATTTTAAACCAATATTTTTCTTAATTAGAACACTATATTAATACAAGATGCTCATATTCAGTGCCAACACGTGCTACTTTTTTCCTTGTATGAAGACTAATGAGTATGCAGACAATTAATCAGCAAAACACCTCTTTAAAATTAGCCTCCAACAATGCATAAAAATAGCTACCATTCTACTGAACCCTGTAGCATGACAGTATCTTCCATATTACAGAAAAACATGCATTAAAACATTTTACTCTGGTTCATTATTTCTCCACGGCCACTTCTGCATCAGTGTTACCAGACCTACTTATTAGCCTGCAACCTCATTGCTGTATCACATAAAAATCAATTTATCAGCATCCCTACTGCTCTGCTTTGTGGCTGCAGTCCTTAGTTTTTCATAATATTTTGGTACTGCTAGAAACTCAAAAGTTGCAGCCACATTCATTCCTTTCTGTTTCTGCAAGGTCACTGACCACAGACACTGTTTCCACTGACACTACTGCACTTAGAGTAAGTACCAACAGTTCCCACAGCCAACTGATGTGTTAGAGTCATCTTACACCCTCTTAGATCCATAAATTCAAGTTTCAAAGCATTTCATATCCCAGTGAATTTATTTTTAAAAGCATATCTCTGATGTTTTTATAAAACCTCAACTGGTTTCATTAACAATGACTTTTAAATTCACCAATTATTTCCACTTTTTATTAAACGTGAAAGTTTGCTCACACATACATGAAAGAGTGAGGCATGACAATGTATATCAGGGGAAAACTTTTTGGCATCCTAATGCTCTAATAGACTCTAACTGCTGCATATTACTTTTCTTGATTCCATATTAGGTTTGATTTCTAGTTTACTCAGGACTATAACCCATCAGCCACATCAAAACCTGGAAGTTTGATATATTCAATGTGTTAAAAGAACAACAGCCTAAGGAGAGCAAGTCTTCCACAAACAGAAAATCAGTTCATTCGCAAACAATAACAAGTTTGAAGAAAAATGAACTATTAACATATCTTCCCTTACTCTGAGAAAGAGTGCCTACATTACCCTTCCTTTCCATAACAAACACCAGGCTGTAAATTATTCCTTGTCCTATGCAGTGCAGTGCAGCTTCCTCAGCTGTACACCAAGTTTTCCCGTAGAACTACTGCATGTCGCAAGAAGCCGACTTAGCCTCCTCAGTTTACAGCCTGTAAACACCGTGCCTTCTTCTAAAGAGCTTGTGAAAGATAACTAACAGAAGCTAAACCGTGCTTGTAAACTTAGACTCGCTGCAGGAAACCTTCACCCTCACCGACAGCGCCCGGGAGCGGCGGGAGGATCGCGCACACCCCACACCCCCACACCGCAAACCCGGCGCCACCAGCCCGGCAGTGACCTGCTTGCTTAGTGTGGGGAAAATAAACCCACGCCAGCGCGCGAGGACAAGCGGCCGTCCTCTCCCGCCCGGGCTCTCCCTCACGGCTCGGCGGCACGGACGGACCCCGAGGGCCCGCTGCAGCGCGGGAACCCCACGTAACGTCGTGCAGAACTGTACCACCGCCCCGGCACCCCACGCAGCTTCATGTGAAAACAGCGTGTTGTAAATCCGATCTCCACTTCCCGCTGTCCCCAGACAGCCGCCAAGAGAACCGCCGGGCTGAGGCCCCACGCCAGCGGAGCCGCGGTACCCGGCGCCCCGGCTCCCTCCCGCCACTCGCGGAGGTTCCAGCCCCTCCGGGCCAAGCGGCCCCGAGCCCCGCAGGAAGCAGCCCCGGGGGCGGCGAGCGTGTTCGCTTCCCGAGGGCGAGGATTGACCAGACCCGCAGCCCTTCCCCGCTGGCACCTTCGGGCGCTCTCCGCGCCGCCCCCGGCTGCCCTCACCCAGCCGCGGGAAGCCGCGGCCCCCCCAGCGCCCACGAGCCGGCCCTGCCCTCCCGCACCGCCGCGTCAGGGCTGCCAGGAGCGCGGCGCCCTCGCCCGCTCTTCCCGCAGCCTCACCAGGGGAAGGCAGCCATCTTGCCGCCCCGTCACATGACGCGGCGGCCGGGCAGCGCCTTCCGCCGCCATTTCCCGCCCCGCCCCGCAGCGCCTCGCCTCAGGGCGGGCGGGGAGCGGCGGCCGCCACCGCGCCCTGATCCGGGCCGGGGTTTTGGGGTCTCCTGTAAAACACCACAGCGGGAGAACGCCGCAGGCAGAACTTTCCATGGACGAGTCGGAAAACCCTTATTAACCAACACGAACTGCAGCGAGCTGTGAGGCTGAAGGCCTTGCACCCTAGGGTCGACCTTTTCCTAATTTTACATGAAGTGACACTTCAACTCAGAAAAATAAAAGAAAGACAGTTCTTGTTAAAGATTTAAACTTTATCGTGCAGTGTGTTTTAAGTAGAAAGCAAGACTGGTGAACATGAAATAAAGTACAAAAATAAATACACTTTTATGATATTACAATTCCACACAAAATAAAAAGATTAAACGTATAAATACAAAACATCAAGTACAAAACCAAATTCTGGCACTTGTCAAAGGCCTTGTGAAAATTAAAAAACCCTTGTGCTACAATGTTTTATTACACATACTGGAAGCATGCTTAAAGGAAGAGGTCTAGATGTAAAACCTGAACAGAAGGTAAGCATTCAGTTTCACTAACGGTTAAACTAAACCTATTTTTACATCAATATATTGACTATGCTAATAATAAATGCAGCACATAAAACATCCTTTGAAAACATCAATCTTTAGCACTGATATATCAACAGCAGATTTTGTGACCCAGGTTACTCTTGACATGGTAAAATTTCCCCCTCTCAAGATGCTTTCCACTCCTAAGGAAAGTCTGGAACCAAAATGGAGCTTTAATGCCTATTGGGTGAGGGGCCTTTTCTGCATTACATCCAAATTTTTAAAGAACCATAGCATTTATAGGAAGGAGGCAGGTCAGCCACTGGTGTAAACACTTAAATTTACATCATTAGGGGAGCCCCAACCACCCCAAGCTTTCAAATGAACAACACTGTAAAGAGCCACTGAGCAGTGTCATTCTTCCAAGTGTTTAGGCAGCATTTTTGCCATTTTCCAAGACGCAATTTGGGTAACTTACTGCATGGTACAAAACATTTGTTTTGGACTATGCCACTAGCTGAAGAAGACAGATTTGGTGGTAGATAAAAGCCACAACCAGTGCCATAAACAAAGTCAATTCACTCGTCACTCCCCATGAAGATACTCTTCTCATCCCACCATTAATGGTCCTCATTCACACTGACTATTTAACACAAAGAAATTTTCGGTCAGTCTTTTTCTCCTACACCCAGGTCAGTATGTTACAAAGCCTCCAAAGTTAGGGTGTTGCATTGTATCGACAATGGCAAAGCAGTAAAATACTAGCCTTTTCACATCCCAGTAGACAGTTCTCTACTATTACTGTTACAGAGCAACAGTAAGCTCTGCAAAGAAGGCAGTAAAGCTTTTCTCTGCTAATCTTTGAATATTAACGTCATGTCTCAAGTTCATTAAAAGACAAAAGTTACAGACTTCTGCTCCCCTCAAGTTGAAGAATAATATCCATCAGCATGAAGACCAAGGCAAAATATGAGCATGATCTTTTAATGTTAGATTTTAATAAAAATAAGTGTGCTTGTTGGGATTTGGTAGGAATTTTTGCTCCCTCCCCACCCCCACATTCATTATTTTGGTACAAGGGCCTGTTAGATCACAGTAGAAGAAAAACTGGTTAAAAAACTGCAACTGTCATCAATGAAACACAAGATACCTGAATTATTATTATGGACAAGCATTTGTAAGTCAGAAATGGTAAAACAATTAAAATCTTGCCTTCTGAAATTTTTGTAGAAGATACACTTGTCTTCATCTTGGCCAAAAGTAGTTTCCATTAAAAAATGCAGTAGGCAGCAAGAGAAAAAAAAAAAATCCTAGGACTTCTCCAGCAGCGGTTTGATTTACCACATGTATACTTGAGCAATTTTGGTATAGTCATCGAAAGTATGTCTGTCTGCCCAGGAGTTAATCTGGATCCATGTCTGTCCAACTCAGCAGAAATGCAAAACATTTAGGCCATCAATATTAAAATTGAGGTTAATCTCATTCGTACAGAGAGTACATTCAAAAATGCTGCTGACAAGTTCACTGATTAAGAGCTCGGTTTTGTTTGAATTTTTTTTTTTCCTTATTTAACTGATTTAACTTCATGGTATGAAACTAAATATATATATATACACGACTTATTTATATCAGCAATCATACACAGAAACTGCAAGTTTAAGTAATGCAAAAAGCGTATGTCAGACACAGGAATTGGAGAGTGTGAAAAAGTCACAAATCACCTTAATCTTGCCCTATGGCGGTCTTGAAATAAGATTATGAATCTTAAGTGTACAGCAGTATGAATATATAATAAGTTTTAACATGCAATTTTTCCACAAGTATTAGAGCTTCACAGCCTTTTATTACTTCAGTATGATTGTATTAAAGTATCATTGTCTGGAAATGACAAAGTATGTTTATCGTTTCTAAATATACATATGGAAGATGCAATACTTGAACCAGGGCTGAGAATGCCATCATTTAAAAAGAGCCATCTTATCCCAGTGAGTGTTGTCTTCTTAAATTGTCACAACATTTGGCTTCTTTCTTTGGGTTCTTCCTGCATATGCTCCTAAAAATGAAGTAAAACCATTACCATTTTACAATTATCAGTACTGGTTTTGTAACGGGGTTATCCAACAAAAATAGCTGAAAAAGTTTAGGACAAATTTTTTTTTTAAAGCAGTATCATATATTCAGTGGCTACTTTTTAAATTACAGTTTTCATAACATTATACCCAAAATGCCTTACAAAAATTACCTATTGGTTTGAAAATAACAACATTTTTTAGTATTTCCTTCCTCAGTAACTATTTCATCTTCTTGTCGGTTACTCTGAACCATCTACAATTCCCAATTTTTTAAAAGAAAAGTCTGTCACATCACAAAGACAGATTAACTATGCCATGTACTACTTTCAAACAAACTATCAATTAAAAAATATAATACAAGTCAAATATTTAAGATAACTCTTTTTTCTCAGCTGCCACATTAATAAACTGAGAGACATTTGCAGGTTTCCATATGTTGATATACACAACCAGAATTAAAAGCGCAGTATGAATAAGGTCATCAGACAGAGCCCTTTTAAAAGGAAAGCTGCTCAAGTATAAAAATCATAATAAATATAACTCTCCACATGGGATAAATATAATATATATATTTAGAAAGTCATATTATACTATGCATAGCACAAGTATCTTCCAGTAACAAGGCTTTAGCACTGCAGACTGCTAAAAAGTAGCACAATTCAGCATTCATTAGGTTCAGGCAGTTATTGAGAGTGTCCAGCAATGTGCGCAAACATTTACCGCATGGTGCAGAGCAGTGGAAATGGAAGACAGCCATGGAAGTGAAATAATTACCAGGCAATTAAATGAATGTGACAAACTCAGTGCCAGTCCTTTCTTGGCTCTTCAGTTACTCTTTGGCAGAGTTGCAATGGTTACTTACAGGTGCCCAAGGGCTACATTCAGCACAGTGCAAAGCAGCTTTGGAAATGCCCACAGAGACCTTACCACAGCAGGATCCCTCACATCTGAACACTGTTTCCCACTATACAAAAAGGCATTCTTGCTGGCCCAGCACTCCAGTGCTGTACTCTTCAGCTCACTTGTGATCTTCTGGGACAAACAACCAGGCTGACAGGCATGATGCTTTATTAGTGATTTAACACTAACTCTCAACTCTCCTCAAGTGCACTCCAAGTTGTATCAAAATCTCACATACAGAATAGAACAATAAAGGGAAGCATTAAAAATCCCAGCAATCTAGGCTAAGGAACTGAAGAAGCCAAATTTTATTAAAACATTACAGCCCTCCTGAACACAATTATCAACCAACCTTTTCCAATGGCAAGGGGAGCAATTACGTGAGGCCTCTCCTGTGATGTACCATTGACCAGCTATTCACACATAGCAGGTCTGACACCCTCCCGAAGTGCCTGAATGCCAGCACACACCATCTCACACGGGCAATCTGCTCCCTGCTCAGCCTGGACAGGCATGCAGGAAAGACCACGCTTGGCCAAGTGCTGCTGCCACCCAAATACTCTGTGTGCCTCATGCCCCATATTTCTTTTCCACAACACTTACTCAGACTGGGCAGAAACAAAGGAGATTAATAGGTCTAGTTGTAGCAGCTGCCTGATCTCAACCACCTTCTCTCTAACACAATCAGATGACATTAAATGCCCTGCCTGGCATAGTTTGCAGGCTATTGACTAAACATCTTGGTCCTATTTAAAATAATTAAAAAAAAAAAAAATTCAACAAATAAGACTCTTTACAGATTTATTAGTTTGTGGTTTTTTCTTTAGCACAGAACTTTGGGTTGAAAGAGTACAAAACAACAAAAACTAATTTTGGGATCACCAGTTGATTCCAAAGCGAAATGCCTTCTTGGCAGAAAAAGACAAGAGTGGTATTAAAGCTACAAAGCACTTTGCAGACAGAATTTAAAACAATCAGAAGAAGGGAAAAAAAAAAAAAAAAGAGAAGCTGCATAAGTATGTTATTGTTTTCTTCTGAGGGTTTGTCTCATGCCTAATTTTAATATATTAAAAATAACAGTATTCTACTAATTCTCCTTCCCTTTCGCCCCTTTAATAAGCAGAATTTAATTGGGATTCAGGGATAAATGAAGACAAGAAATTAAATAACAATATTACAGGTTAGGCATACAGCAGACTGGTATCATTGCAGATATAAATACATCTCTGTATTGCTTAGACCAAGCCACTGCTACAAGTCTTTGTTTTCTGACATACACCACTTCTACTAAAATAAGAGAAGCATCTCTCTTGAAAAAGACTATTACTTCAAAACACCATATTTAAAAAAAAAAAAAATAACAAAAACCCCCTGTTCAACATACTGGCAACCCTTTCACTACTCACATTTTATCCATATATAAAGAAAACCATGTTTTATTTAAATGAATTCAACTTGAGTTTTTTTCATTATTGCAAAATTATGCAGATTATTTCTTTCATTCCAAGTGTTCCCCATCTAATAATTTCAGAATTAATTCACTATTAATTTAGTACAAGTAGTCTATGGTATTTATAAAGGAGCATACAGAAGTACTAGTATTACATGGAAAAACATGCAATGTCCAAACACTAAATGAGGTTATGTTGTGCAACCAGAACTAGGCACCATACAATTTCTTAGACACATCTGCTATAAATTCCAAGGCCACCACAAAAGGCATTAAAGAGCTTTCCAGATATTCAACAAATAGCAATAAGGAAAGGCAAAGAGAAATTTAGAGATACATCCCAAAGGATTATTTTCATTGCCAGGTATCAGCTGTCACGACTTAGATAATTATGACTCAGGCACTTAGAGCAGCACACACTGCCAACACAGAAGAGTGAGAATGAATGCTTTAATTGGATGTCTGATGCCAAACGCAAATGTAAAAACCACTGTGGATCATTACGAGCTGAGCATGAGTTACAGGAGATTGGGGATGGCATCCAAATCTCAAATCAGTGCTAAACCTGACACTGACACGACCACTACTCTTTTACAACCTCTGTAATAGTGTAACTCATAGAGGTCTTAAGTGTTTTGTTGTCCCTGTTCTTCAATACTTTCATTTACTACTTAATACCAGACACATTTTTGCAAACTTGCAGATGAATACTTGCCTTAATGGCTACCTCTGGTTGCTAAAATTATACTGCTTCCTTTATTTTCTTCTTCATATTTCAGAGAGAGTATTTACTACCTCTGCTTATTTTTCTGTAGTGTCACTGGGTGCAGCTGAACAACTGCCTTGCTCCACTTTAGTGGTGACAGCACTGCCAGGAGAATTGGCAACAGAAGAATAAATGAACAAACCTTGGTTGTGATCTCATAGTTTGTTTTTGTATTTTCCCCTCCTTTTTTTTTTTTTTTAACTCTTCAATCTGAAATACTACAGATGTGTATGCATAGTTTTACTATACATCCTTCTATGGCCTCTTGGCTTCACGAAGCACTATTAAAAGACCAAACACTCTGGGAAAACATCACATTTAAACAGTGCACACACTGCAATGAAATTTGCAGATGCTCCCTGCCAGCATTGCTCCAGGGCAGCAATAAATGAGAATTTCCCTTATAGGAAAGGTTTGATACTTAATACATAAAGATAATTCAGATGACTATGGAAAACAGTTGAAATCCTACCACATTGTAAATTTGCCTTATTGAGCCCCAAATTTCCCAATTCTTATACTTGAGTTGTGGAACTCCACTTTGAGAGCAAAGTGTAATTAAGATCTTAAACAGTTTTAAAACCTATAAATCACCTTACCTTTTGATAAATTAAGGCCTGTTACTTACATTTAAAATCTGATTAAAAAAAAACGGAAATTGTGTAAGATGTTTCATAGTGGTTTTTATTCCCTTTGTGCCTGAACAGGCTGAAAACTGAGAGGTTTGGCATTATTATCAAACTTTTTTAATAAAAGGTAACCAATCGGTGGTATCTGTATGTACGTACAGGAATACTCCACTTTTAAAATTAGGTCATTAATACTCAAACATTCTGTAAATTTCTACAGTAATACATATAGTTTTAGGACTGTATCATGACTGAACTCCCAACAGTAAGTCTGAAACTGTCCTTCCTGTTCTTTCAATAGGCTTTGTGCTGAAGACAAGTTACGTGTGTGTACAGAATGAAGAATCAAATGACATTAAGACTCTAATCCACGTCTATTTTGACTACTATTACCTTCTCAAATAGCTACAGTGAATATATCTGGCAAGCTTTCTTATGACTGGGCATCTGGTGAGGGAAAGCAAGTGAGCTGTGCAGTACATTCTATATACAATGTTTATAGAATTTGAAAGTGGATGGTTAAGTTACCAGCACATGTTTGTTTAAAGAGATAGGTTAGATTTAAGACATAGCAAAGCAGGTGCACAACAAAAGGAAAACAATATATCACCCATTTACTTTTTCTGGATTCTAGTAACTTATTTACTATAAAATCCAAGCACCAATTTTCTACACACCTGAAACAGCCTTGTTAGACACTCTGCTCTCTGAGGCCTTCTTTCTATTTTGCTCAACCCCCTTCATTGAGGTCTTAGGGGTTCTAATTAAATATAAAAAAATTAATAAGTCACTTGCAACAAAGTTGAAAGGCTGTATCCAAAAATATAAAGACACTATCAAACTGTGTTTGGCATGAAAACATTTTTAGTTTCCCACAGAGCCTCCTCCTGAGTACAATTCCTATTGACATTATTATGGCTTACATAGATGCATTAAATAGGAGAACATCTCCCCGTGAACAGATTTTTAAAACTCTATTCAAGAAACTAATTCAGTTCAGACACTGGCATTACAGTCTACATATAAAAATATACATATTTCATTAAGTGGAAGCAAAGCTTCATGGAATGAATGTTACAAATAGAAATGTTGGAACACAGTGTAAATGGAGACAATACACAAGAGGATGAGAATGCTAAATATTTCTTGCAGAATAAGGTAAACAAAGCTTCATCAATCTCTCAGAATACTGTGAGAAGTAATTATTTTTACTTTGAACAACAGCTGCACCAGCATGTGTAAATATTATTCAAAAATCATTGTGCTCTTGCACTTTGCATTTACTTCCATCTTTAGGCTATAAACAAGCTGTGCCCTTACCCTTGTCTGCAAAGCAGTCTATGAACTGGGGCATTCTGTCCTTGATTTGGTTGAAGTACACTGTCAAAACACAAAATTTTATTAGCGCTTTTTCCTTTCTTAAAAAAAAAATATCTCATAAATAATATGGAATTATGCATTTATTTCACATAACAAATTTCAGAAAGGCTAGCAGGATCTGTAATGCAGATGACACGCAGGCAGAAGTGGCAGAAATTAAAATTCCAGAATAGGATTACTACTTCTGCTATTTAAAGCAAAGAAATAAAAAAGAACTTGATAAAACTCCCTCAATAGTGCCTTGGGCTCCTAGTCACTGATAAGAACATACAGGAAAAAAGGACTGAATCGCTTTAGTCACTCAAGATTGAACTATATTAGTAGACAGCATGTCTTCAAAGCATTTGGGTAAGCATGGGATAAAAATTGTTTTTAAAGGATGCCAGGTATCTGACTTCTTATACTAGAAAGGTGCAGATAGGCCTCATATGAGAAAGGCTGCTTTCTTCCTCAACAGCAAGTACTGAAGACTAATTTCTGTGATTTAAGCAGTCACACGATCTAGAAGCAAGAACTTTTCCTCACAACAGAAAGCCACTTTTCTGACAACTTTCTACAGATAAGCATATCAATTATTACATTGCAAAGTAAAGGGTATTAAGAAAAGTAATGTCACACTGAAGCTTAAGACATACTAATAGTGTATCTCAGAGAAAAACCTTGAACCTGAGCACAGAGATTTGAAGCCATAAATAATTTCTGAAGATAAAATTTCAGAACTGACTCTGAAGAAAATAAACCTTTTCTATCTAATAAGCTAAAAAAAACCCTCCTCAGACCATGCTAAATCAGATTTCATTACCATCCATCATAAGTGGCAGGAATTGAGCTGACTGATGGCAAACCAGCAACACAGATCAAAGAACCTATCATTATAAGACAGTTTCTTAAAAGCATCCTAATGCAAGTAAACTTCACTCACCGGCTTTCAGGAGTTTTTTGTTTTATTATTATTTTTTTACTGGGAATTCCCATTTCTGAAGCCCTAGAGAAACAAAAGTATTGAAACATATTTGAATTATAAAATCATTATCTAGGTCTTCAACAGAAACAATAAGAGAAAACCTACAAGAGGATCTACATCTACATGTAATACTGCCAGAGCAGTACTACAGGTTATCACTTTTTACTCATAAGCAAGTAAAATGCAACTGTTCAGTCCACTGTGTTGCAGGATAATGACTGCTACCATCCCTCCAAAAATCTTTGCCAGAGATACTCTATCAAGTATCTCTATTGCTGGGCACTTTAGAAAGACTGACAAAATAACTTGGAGCATTATTTACAATTTAAAAAATCAACCATAAACAGTGCTCACCACTGGAATATAGCAGAAATACACAACCCAAGGACAAGTATTTTTTTCTCATACAAACAAGAAATCTCTCAAAAGTAAGAGCAAACTACTATTAGTAAGATACCACACACCTGAAGACAGTTTTTCATTCACTCCGTTCTAGGAGAGATGTTAGTTTGCAAAGAAGCTGTTACTCCAAAAACTTTTCACTATTTCCAATGCCTACTACTCATTCTCTTGCACCCCCACCCCCACCACCACAGAGGGAGAGCTGCACATACTTCATGTACTTTTTCCTGTCCAGAGATTTCTGTGTAGCTGTTGAAAGTGTTGCTCTCTCTCTTGGGCTCTTTACTTTATCCTAAAAAAGCAAAAGAACCAACAATAACACTAGTTACTGCTCTTATTGAGCTTAACCCCATCTGATATGCCCCTACTTAAAGAAATAAAGTTTAAATAAAACCCCAACAACAAAACCAACACTGTTTTCAGTACTAAGTTCACATTCAGACTAAATTCAAGGGGTTTTTTCTTTTTTAAAATTAAAGGATTTTCCTTATAATAACAGATTTAAAAGGGTAGTGTGCCATAACCAATTCTTGTTATGGAGTTCTTGTTATTACTTTCACCATGTTTCTCATTCTAATTTTTATATATCTACACATTAAAAGTTTCACCATAATAATCTCCTACTGCACTGACCTCTTTTTTTTTTTTTTTTATTTGAAGAAAGTTACGTACAGAAGCATAATTAAACAACAATTGAGATTTTGAAAACTTTCTACTGGGTGAGAAATAATCTCTTAAAAGCAAAATGATTCAATACTTAAAGTCTTAAACCAGTTCTCTTAAATATAACACACCATTTGCCTGAGCATCTTCTCTTTACGAACTTCACGATCATGACGCAAAATATTCATTCTTTCTGATGCCTCCATCGTAAAAAAGATGTCATGGATGTCATACAGAGCCGCTCGCAGCTGGAAAGAATAATTAAAATTTTAATAAAATATTCAGTCAAGTTAACATGGTTTTGATCATTAAGCTCTCTTTCATTTTAAACAAAACACTTGAGAAGATAATCTTGAAATCTTTCTTAATGTGTCAGCACAGAAGTAGAATCTTCACAGCCATAGTTTAAACTTTTTACTTTCAACAAAGTCACTGTGGAGGTTTTAGGTATTTATACTGCAAAAGCAGAACAGATAGGAAAGAATTAAAAAAAAAAAAAAGGTTTGAATTGTGTCACCTGAGCCATTACTCTTTCATGAAGTGATGCATCTTGTGCTGAAACACTTCCTCTTTTTAATGGGGCTTCAGACTGAAAATTTTTTATGAACTCCATAGTATCCTGGAGAAGATGGGAAAATAAGATTAAGCACCAAGCACAGTCCTTCACAACAAAGCAATCATTACAAACTATACATGTAGGACATATATTCTTTGTCTGATCTGGACCTTATGACTCTAAGCAACGCAACAAACATATTTACATGACAGACATTCACAAATTCCTCTGAAAGCAGAAAATGCATTATTTCATCTTTCAGCTGAAGATAGGAACAAAAACAAACAGGAGAAGCTGCATAATATAAAAATGCTGATCTTACTTTTACAGTTTGCTTAAGATGTTTCAGTTTTTCTGTTTGCAGGAGTCTACGAGTGAGAAAACCTCTGGCCACAGCAGTGATCTTATCAAACTTCATTTGTATCTCTGAACTGAAAACCTTAAAAGAAAACACATTGTTTTCTAAACATTTGATAAAAAAGCAAGAATTATGAATTATTTCTCAAATAACATCAATCATGTGACTTAAGTTTTCAAGTAAGAAACAAGCTGTTGATAAATGTTTTGGCTAGGCCAGAAGTACTCACCATATTCACTTAGCAGAAGCAATATACTGTGATATGATTATTTTGCATATATAAGCAATAAGAAAAATATCTTCCGGAGTTCTCTCATGTAATCAAAGACAATATAGGAAGGGATACAAAACTTTTCTGTGAGATTTATTACTGCACAGCTATTACAAAGTTACCAGTGTCTTAAAGAAAATAGAGGGATTTATAAACTATAAATAAATCTTTTTTTAACTTACCTGAGTCCACCTAGTTTTGATCCTGTTACTTGGCCTAGATACTGAGGTTTTTATAACACCACTACTCGATGGTCCCCAGAGAAAGAATGAAGTTTCACTTGTTGAAGCAAAGGTGTTAGGTGTTGTAGTATGAGCAAAACCTGCACACAAAGAAGAACGTACAGTTCAAAACACACTTTTGTCCATAAAGTAATGACTATGCATGCATATACACTCAGCTCAGAGGTAGCAGGTTTGTTTACAAGGTTGCTTATAGGCAAGAAGGAATCTGAATATTTTTAATTCCTTTCCTAGCAAAATGTGCTGAACAGAAGACAAAACAAAGCATTTCGTAATGGTCTGGAACAGGTGAGAGGTGTTCCATCAGCTACAGCAGTACATCCTTGCAGTCAAGACCACTGGGCAGAGCCCCTCTAATCTTCCTACACAAACGAGAACACCTGGCCCACAGCTGTTCAGCTGTGTGCCATGAGAATGAACCTTCTGTGACATGATGCAAATCCACATCCTCATCCTTGATCAAATAAGCTTACTCTTAGCTCGTTTTCCCTCAAATATGCCCTATAACAATTATATAACAAATGCAATACATGGAACACTACAAGGATGGCTGGAACTGCTAAATGCCAGATAGACAAAGACACAACACAGAATTCGTTTTACATATGCTGTCAGCTGAAGGCAGCAGCTGCCCACATATCCTGACCAACAAGTGCCCTATGACAGGAACACTGCATTTATCAATACAGTGGGGCAGCTGGTCCAGTCAAGCACTGCAGAGCAAAATATATCATATTGTTTAATCTATATTTTATCCTCTCAGTTTTACCAATACTGGTGGAGTTTGCATTATGGACTGTCTCCAGCTGAGACTGCACACTTTCCAGCAAGCCACTTTCTGTTTTTTTCCTCCACTCCAACTCCATCCTACTGTTAATATTCACTTTGGAAATTTCTATTTCCGTTGTAGCAACATTCTTTCCTTTCAACTTTCTCTGCTGCTCTTCCAGTTCCTACAAAAGAAAGAATCAACTATGAAACTATTTTTCTAATTCTGCAAAGCAACAGAACATACATTTTAAAACCAACTGCTTCCTGACAAACTGCAATACAACACATATGCCCTTTGCTTAGAATTTTTTCCGTTTTTACCTTACCTTCTGCAATTTCTCCTGTTCTCTCTCTTGTTCAGCTATCAGAATTGACAGTTGTTGTGCATGCTGCTCTTCAAGTCTCTTCCTCATTTCTTCCAAGGCCAACATTTTAGTTTTTAAAATATCTTCTGAGAAGATACATTACAAAGAATCAAGTATTAAATAATTTCTGTATGATCTTTGCCACAGCCATACATGCTTTTAACAGGAGTAATTTGCGTCATCAGTAAAAAGGTGCAACATATCTTTGATACCAGGTTTCCATTATGTATTGCAAAGAACCTTGATATCAGGTTTCCATTATGTATTGCAAAGAACCTCATCAGTTACTACAGTCCTTCAAAATATTTGCATGTTTGCATTTGTGGGATAAGCATGTGAATGGAACAGCAGTAACACCAACAGAGCCTCTATTAAAATAAGGAAGAACATAAAAAGTCTAGCCCTAAGAACAGTATACCTACACTTGCTTGAGTGAGTTAAAATTATTTATGCAACTTCAGCTTGATTTGGCAGACACAGACAGACGTAACACAGTCTGGAATCCGAAGAAAATACCTATAGTGATTTGCAACCCATTGAAAGATACTTTCTTTTAATTTTCACAGGCTATCTTTTCTTTTAGAAGTCTTATTGAGACATCATGGAATTAGACATAATTTTCTTAATAAAACTAAATTCCAATTTCTACATTCAAATTGGAGATTAATATTTGTGCTGTCAAATGATACCTTTGAGAATAAATACAGAATTCACAAAACTGATACACAATGTTTTAGCTGATGTTTCCTTATAAACTGTTTAATCAAGTATTTGTTACAAATAACTGTTCTAAGACTTCTGACTCCAATTGACTCCTAAGACTGCAATTACTCCATTCTGTAGCAGTTAAAAACAGCTCAAGTAGCAAGTTAAATTTCAGAATTTGTCATTAATTAGAGAAATAATGAGGTTACTGAAAAAAAAAATAATTCACACTAAATAAAATTTTAGTCTTTTGATATATATATACATACCTAGAAACATCGATGACTAATGATCATTGGGGTTTTTTCTAAAAGATTTATAAACTGAGAAGTAAGTTTAAGAAAACCCCTCAACTACACAAAATCTTTTACCTTTTGCCATACAATCAGGGGCTGTATTCTTGGTAATGTAAATGGATCCCACAGGATATTTCTGCTCTTGCAACCAGTGATTCTCTTGTTCTTCCATTCCAACTGTTAGAACACAGGGACTGTTGTCTTTTTGGCAGTTGTCAGTGTCTAAATCAAGTCTACGTTTTACCTTTTCAAAACTGTTTTCTAGAAGCTGCTCATTTGCTGTGGAAACACTTGGAGTGTCCATCTGCTGTTGCACATTCTTGGTCTGCATTAGTAGTGGGGATGGGTTTTCTACATCATAAGATTTATTGAGTTCTACTGGAGAATTACATTTAGTATTTTCTAGCAAACTAGATGGTTTGGTTTCATTCACAGCTAGGAGCTTCTGTGTTACTGTAGACTGACTGCTGGCAAATGGCTCATTCAGTTTTGAAGCTACAATATTAGTACTAGTCTCTACTTTATATGGCCCTATGCTGTCCATCACTACTTGTCCTTCCACTGTAGCCGATAACGTTCCTTTACTTTCCAAGTGCCCAAAGGAACGGCGATTTGGTTTCCCAACGCCCAACCCATCACAAGGACCTGAAGAATTCCTGTTGACACCAGGAACTCTGCTAGGGCAAACCATAGTGAAGTCCACCATGAACTTTGGCACTGACTCAGAAACATTATTTTTATCAGCAATATCTTGCATGATTAAATCCATTGCTCTACCCTTGCCTTTAGGACTTAACTCGTAAGCATTCACAGGGTTATTTATAACAATGTGTCCCATTGATAAAGGTCTTGGGCGCCTTCGGTGCATTTTAGGGCTCATGCTTGGCTCTGGGCTCGGCAATTTGGCGTAAGAGCCTGTGAGGCTCCTGACAATGCTACTGTCATGATCAAACATAGAAGTCTTTTTAAATTCTTCATCCGAATCTGAATCCACCAGTGGGGGCGTTCCGACTCTCATAGGTATGTCCACTTTAGAAAAACTGGATAAAGTTGACATACTTGTGTTGTTTGTATGAGTAGAGGCACCTTGGAGAAGAGTATTTGATTTATTAAGACTGGGTTTATCAAGTGTCAGAGAGGTGCAACTTCTGCCTGTAAGCTTTACTCTTTCTTTCACAGAGTCAGTTGTCTTAATGCCATCATTTTCTTTATCTGAATGACTTTCACTCATACTTCTCTTTGAATTACTTTTTGAAGTACGCTTGGTTTGCTCTTTCTCTATGTACTCCCTAGATTTCTTCATCAGGTTCTGAAGACTCATTACATATGGATCCTGGACTTCCTCATCCAACGGTGGCACTCCTAGTCCCTCTTGCTTTTGCAAAGCATGTGACGCAAGCTTATTATGCATGTTGTCAGGAGGCGCAACTCTTGGACAAGGTATGCCTTTTGAGAAGGTGCTCTCACTTTGCTTTGAAAAAACATTTTCTTCTGCTGCTTTAACTGCTTCTGTCACATTTGATGTCACCTGCCCAGTAGTATCTGCTGGCGTAAGTTCTAGCTCTGTGGAACCATGCCTTTCAGGAGAACATGTCAAATTGATGTCTGACAGAGCTGTGAAGTCAGTCGAAGCTTTTGAATCTGAATCAGGACAAGTGTTCTCAGCCTCCTGTGCATTCACATCACTCACACTAGCTCCCTTCCTGGTCTGGAAATAAAAATTGAAGACAGTCATGTATTTTCAATGAAATCTCCTCAGATTCCTGCAAGCTTCACCTGAATTTAAAAAAAAAGAATGCTAATACCTTAAAACCAATAAACATTTTCAGTTCAACTGTTACTGATTTCCTACAAATTACTTACAATACAGAGCTCTTTGCAATGAGGAAAAAGTTACTGGAATTAAAATATAAACTTGATGGTCCACTTGGCAATTTTACTGATACCAAGTATCTGACTGAAGACACTCTTTTTTTCATAAGATAATTTGGATATATTCAAATAATTTTATGGCTTCAAATTATCTTGCAAGATTCCTTTTAAAATATTAAAATATGTTTAATAAGAAATGTAACTGAAAAATTTCAGCATGAAATATAGACAAACCTATAGATGACTAAGAGCAAGTCAACAAAACTCATAATAAAAATACAGGAACTATAAAATAATTTGTTCATTTATTTACAAATCCAGTGACAGTTAAATACAAGTTTTCATTTGTCAAGTACTTGGAAAACCAAGTTGAAGTGAGAATTAAATGCTACCTCTAGCCAGCATTTGTTTAAAAGGATTTTCACACTCAAGTTATCCTATAGGTTATCCTATGTGATGCAACTCAATTATCAAGGGGACACCTTTTTAAAAAATTTTAAAAAAAGCTAACTTATTTTTGTATTGAACATACATACTCTGCTCTTGAAATCCCAAGCCAGATGACTGTTGCCATGTACACTCCAGTAAACAATGCAAACTGGTAGGTTTTGTTTGCCACTTCAGTAACTCAACAAATCCAGTACTAACTGTACGTGTTTAAGCAAGAGGTTAATTGAAACAGTTGCAATAGTCGTTAAAAGACAAATAGTACTGCTTGATTAGTTGTATTTAATATTCTTTTCAATTTAAACCTCTATTAAATTCATCATTGAAGCAGCAAAGAAAACAAAATATTTGCAGTAAAATTATAAAGCACACGACAGAATTACAAGTTATCACAAAGGTATTTTTAGTTCTGTAATCATGAGGTTGAATATAGATTATTTTCTGATTAAACTATAAGCTTGCAAATAAAGCAAGTTCTAACACTGGGTGTTTTGTTCATTTGTTTTTACAATCCATTTGTTTCAAACAGTTACAAAAGCAACTGTCAGTTATCTGGTGTGGTCTGTCTTTTGAATATACCAAAATAAGCAGTGAAAAGCAAGTCCTATGCATGACAGTGAACATAGATGTTATCACTAAATAATCAACTATCAGGTCACATAGCACAAAATACTAGCACACGCTGGTTCCAGATAGTTAACTGCTATTAATTTCATGTTTGTATTGATGAATACTTAAACCTCAGCACTTTCTCAAAATGTCTATAGAACTGAAGCAGAAGTTTTATAAAATGCTGTAAGGCAGCTTTGGACCAACGCTACCTGAACATTTTCTATAATCTCCTGTACACAATTCAACAAAGCTCTTTTCCGGGATTTCTGTCTCCAGTTTTCTAGGTCCAGTGCTTTCTGTTTGTATTGCTGTATTTCCTTTTTCTTTTCAAGGCTAAGCTGCAAAACAGAGTGTAAGAAAGATGGTTTATACCACTAAAAGCAAATTTCACTACTGAATTACAGAAATAAATTAGAAAGAAAAACAACAGAACGAAATAATAGAAGAACAATCATCATCTAAGTTGAGACTTTATACACACTTTAAATGCCAGCTTCTTTTTAACCAATTACACTTTTTTAAAATGGAAAGTCTTGAATAAAATACCTTCTTGACACACATGGAAATTAACATGAATTTAAAAGATAATTTATAAAAAATTTGCATGAACGTTACATACTATAGTATGGACTTCAAATGACACAGGACTCAAACCGCAGGACAGGTCTTTCCTGGTCCTCTATGGAGATGGGAGGTTTGGGCATCCTGTAGAGCCCTCTGTGACTGATCTTCCTACCTATACTCAAGCTATTAAGGTCTGTGAAGGACTAGCTCACACTTGCCCTCTTGAACCAGAGGTGAATTTCACAACAAGACAGAAATGTACGCAAGCAGTCTTCTGGATTCTTTCAACAATCAGAATCTGAAAATCTTCCGAACTACTACTTTAGAATATGTTGTTTGGATAAAAGTCAAAACTAAATCTATAAAACTACATCTACAAAAATTGGTTTCACAAAGTTCTACCAAACTAAATAGTCTCAAGTCAAATTATGCATTTCTTCTATGAAACCTTGAAATATCCATCCATCTGTAAATGAAAAATATTACAAAATATTTAGTCTCCAATGTATATCAGTGTCATGATTTTTGGACACCTTTGTTAGAGTCTCTCCATTCATACCTCTCATCACTGAAACAAGGAAGTCAGCTGCATTACTGCACAAACTCCCTACAGTCTTCTGCTTGGGTCTGTTTGCATTAAGCACAGAATGACTTAACATAATTGATGAGCCTATGAAATACATTAGAGGAAGCTGCAAATACACGTGAAAAAAAATTTACTTAAAAGCTTTGTAACTATCACAGTATTTCGTACTTTCACTTTTCTTTTTTGTTGACACTTTGAAACAAACTTGCACGTTCAATATTTCGAATGTCAGTATGATTTTACATGAAGTTAAGCCCAGCAATAACATTAATCTATTTAATACCACAAATATTTTTACTCCCATTGTGATGATAACAAATTTCAAGAAATTAAAGCAAATGTAGTCTATGTGCAAAAAAGTACATTTTATCCCTTTGTAAAATTAAGGCTAGGAATGCTTAGAATACATTAAGCAGCAGGCCAGATGATACCTCATACTGAGCTGTACCTTCTGTAGAATCATTACATGTGGACATCAAAGCTAGTGCCAAAAGCACAGTTAGCACACCAGGGAAGAAAAGAAAAACTAAAAAAAAAAAAAAAAGCCTTACCAGAGGGGAAAGCACTGGAACTCCATGGAATTGAATGAGGGAGATATTTTTCTGCTGAAGAGTGAAAGAGGTTTCTCTTTTTATTGCCTCTTCTTGGAATCGGGAAAGATGCTTCTTACAGAATATTTCATAGTCCTCCATCTTCATGTTAACTAAGCTGCAAAGAATAGCAACATTACTCTTCCATGTGCTTCCAACACCATGCAGAGAAAACATCATCACAACTAATTCTGTATCACTATATTCTAGGAAACAAATTATACATTAGAAAACTGAACTAAGTTTCTCTTTTCCCCATCATTAACAAAAGCTGCAAAGCTGGGTTTTTTCCCATATAAAAATAAAATCTGCATATATGAGCAAAAATAGATGTACACTGAGAAGAAAGAAAGCATTGAGATAATCAAGATTTACAACACATGATACAGACAATCTTAACCATTTCCATCAAGGACTAAACCTTTAAGGTCTCCCACAATTATCAGATGGATCCTACCAATTGTAAAAAAAAAAAAAAAAAAAAAAAAAAAAATTGCAGCCCATTTTAATTTTTTTTTTATATATATAATTAAGCTAGTATTAAAGGAAGACTAGCTTTTTATATTTAGGGGGCTGAGAGGAATTTGTGTCTTGCTCCCAATGACCCTCCTCGACACATCCCTGTATGAACAGACGCCAACACTTCCACCAAAAGAATACATTAGAGCCTACATATCTCACACTGCCCATCCCTACCGGAGTCACAATTCAGAGCCAAGCACCGGCTGCCAAGGCCTGCCAACGCTTTTGTTCCCCTCGCACACCCCTTCGCTGGTCTCTGCCTTCCTCCCACCGCCCCGGGCGCACCGAGCCCTCCCCAGACAGCCCGGCAGGACCCCCGCTCCCGGGCCCAGACGCCCCGCCTCTCCCCTGCTCTCCCGCCGGCCGCCCCGCCCCGCCCCGGCCCCACACCCACCTCCGGGGGGCAGGCGGCACCGGCGGGGCCGGGCCCGGGCCCCGCGGCCCTCCGCGCCCACCGCAGCCGCGGTAGCCGGCCCGGCGCACAGCCCCCTCACCCCCCCCCCAGGTCCTGGCGCACCCGGCCAAGCGCTCGGTACCTGCGCGGGGCCCGGAGCCCCCGGCGCGGCCCGCTCGCCTCCCGCGGCCCCGCCGCCGCCCGGCAACCGCCCCGCCCGCCCGCGGCACTACAAACCCCAGCGCGCACCGCGGCCCCGCCGCCGCTCCGCCTGCACTGGGGCCGAGAATTGAGGAAGTAGGCTGCTTCGTTCGGCCTAGGAAAGGACGTGAGCTCCATCTACGAACCTGTTCGCGTGTCTGAGCCCCGCGGGACGCGTCTGGCATTTCTGGGCGAGCTCCCCGGCGAAGGTAGCTCCAGTTCTCAGCAGTATGAGATGCGACTGGTAGCTCCAATTCTCAGCGGTATGAGGTGGGACTGGTAGCTCCAGGTCTCAGCAGTATGGGATGGGTCTGAGGGCTGTGCTGTTGCTCTGATTCCCAGTGACTTCCACCCATAGGTCACCCTACGAGCACAGGTGAAGTGCTCTAGCACGTTAAATAGCATATGGCAGTGCGGTCCTTGTACAGTCAGGACCACAAATGTGCCGCCAGCTGGTATCCGTTTCATTGAACACACTGTGATGAGAAAGATAAACATGAGAACTTGTTAATACGCTCTGTGAGGACAGCATCACGGTGTCACCGCAGACATCCTATCCCTCCCACCTGAGCAGCAGCCGGCTGCCGGTCCAGCTGACCCGCGGAGCAGAGAATACTGACCCGTGAGGCAGGTCAGGTGGAAAACGCAAGCTTGTTTGCCAGCATTCAGTGCAGGGAAAATTAATTTAAATTTATGGAAACACCTAGTTCCCAGCGAACATTTAGAGATGTTGAAGCTGTTGTTTCAAAAAACAACACCTTCATCTGTTACGTCTTCAATATGTTAAATATTATTAATGGGCTTTGAAATCTTCATGTTTAATCTTAACAAATGCTGCTGTTTATCAAAAGATTTTTAAGTATGTGAGACATTTAATTAGACATTCCAGGATTTGTTATGTGTCTGCATATATATGTCTGATTTTTCTTCAGGTACACCCAGCAGAAACACAAAACCATACACAGAAAAGAATATCTGAAATACTCAGAACTAGCTAATCAATATATGACAAATACTTATCTCGGCTATTAAAAAAAATAATTTAAATCCAGTTTAGAAGATTTCCTGGTGCCTGTCCCACCTCCGGTTGGCAAGATTTCCTTTCTGCAAAGTCAGTTTCTTCGCATCCTTCCCACAGAAAACACCAGCAAAAAAAAAAAAAAGGGCAAAATCCTCATTTATGTTAACACAAACTGCTATTCCCTGTGCTTTGCTATTCTATTTCTAGACCAAAGTAACCCGGTTTCTTCAACATTCACCAACTTCTTGTTGCTCTTTACCCTGGCTTTTTTCCAATGGTTCATGCCTGGGTTGAGAGCGGCAAACGTCCCTTGCCAGCAGCAGCCTCAGCTGGGCAGGGGGGAACCGCCGTCCCCACAGCGGCTCAGGCCTCCTCACAGCAGCACTGTCTGGCCTCGGGCTTAGGGCACCAGCAGGCATCAGTAGAGAGTTAGCTACATAATATAGCTAGCCAGCTATGTAATATATACAGTGTAGAGCACTGTATATAGAAATACAATAACCAATTGGAAAATAACTAATACTATTATATTTCTAATTAGTTAGCTGACATAGCCGAAAAACCCCTCAACGCTCTCCAGACACGCTGGTCTTCCACGACTGTCTGAGTAGAGATGCTTTTCCTTCAATAAACACCACATATTTTTTTATCAGCGCCATTTGTCATCTGGAATAACCCACATTTTCCTGGAGCGCTCCCCTGGTCTTCACCTGAGGGGGTCCCACAGCCCGGCAACCTGCCGGCTCCGCGGCCGCGGCCCCGCCCCCTCCCGCCCCTCAGCGCCACCCGCTGGGCGGGGCCGGGCGGGGCCGAGCGGCGACTGGCTGGCGCTGACAGCCGCCGACCGCGGGTTAGCGGGAAGCGGGTGAGCGGCGGGCGCCGATTGGTTGCCGGCGGCAGGTGGGCGGGTGCCCGTTGGCTGGCGCCGGACGCAGCGCTGCGGACGTTGCTCTCGGCCTGAGGGGAGGTGGTGGAGGCGGCCAGGCTTATATGCCGGTGCCGGTACCGGTGTGGTGGGCGCCGCCGCCATGTTGTGCCACGGGGAGGGCGTGCTGAGCTTCCTCACGGCGCTGCTGGGGGCGGTGCTGGCGCTGAGCCGCAGCCCGGCGCTGGCCTGCCTGGTGACGGCCGGCCTCTACTTGGTGCTGCACCTCTTCAGCCTGGAGCCCGTCCCGCCTCAGAGCGCCCAGCGCGTTCTGCGGCCCCGCGGCGCCGCCGCCCGCATCGCCCACCGCGGCGGCGCGCACGATGCTCCCGAGAACACGCTGGCGGCCATCCGACAGGTCAGCGCGGAGAGGCTTCCCCGGGGCCGGGCTCCCCCTCCCCGGCCCCGAGAGCCGGCCGTGGCCCGCGGGGCGCTGGAGGCGCGTTCGGCCTGCCCGGCCGCCGAGGGACGCGCCGGGCCTGGGGCGAGGTTAGAAGGGTGAGGGAAATATCCCAAATGCTCCGTGGGGAGCGAGCCTTGGGGAGCCTGTCTCCCCTTGGATCTGGTAGGTGAGGCTGAAATCGGCAGGCAGTAATGCGAGTCTGTGGGTTATTTTTGATAATCTGCCTTTTCAGTAGGCACTAAACCCTCGTCACCCCAAATAACTCCAGCTTCTTCCGACTTGCCGCACGAAGCTGTGTGGCTTGTCAGTCCTTCATCCCCACGCCGATTTGGAGCAGTTCAGCCAGATCCGAGTCTTGTTGGAAGTGTTATATCCTTGGTGCTGGTGGATATTTTTAGCAGTGTAGCAATAATAAAATTCTGTATTTTGCTGATGTTGCAACAGAATATAGAGTGGACAGCAACTGTAGTGAGAATCCAGTTATGAGAAAATCTGGTATTGTGAGAATTTCACTGTGTACAGCCCTGCCATGAAGCTTATTGCTGCCTCATTTGCAAGGCAGCAGCAGCCAGAGTTCAAAATCTGTTTCTGAGAATTAGTTGCACTGTGATTAGCAGTCTCTCAAATGTAGTGTATCTGTGATGATGTTTCTGCTCTGATGGTTTCTTACCTTTGGGCGAGTCAGGGCTCTTTGTTATAATAAATTCTGAAGCTGCACAATAGGGATTCTTACTTGCGAGATACCTCTAGAGCAACCTCTAGTGCATACCTTTTATTTGTCCTTCTGGTGCATTGACCTTTTTCCCAGGGGGGCATTTGGAGCTCAGAATAATTAGTCTTGCTTGCAGTTCTCTCAGGTGCTTTTCTGATGAGTTCCTGGGAAAGAGCCAGGGCAGGAGCAGGATTTATGAAATGTTCTAAGGCAGCCCAGCTGCTTAATGCTCTCTGATACAGGGATTCCTCAGCTAGGATCAGGGATTTGCTTACACACATCCACTCCTTAGTGCAAGCATGGTGAGAGGTGCTTCTGGGAAGTTTTGTATCTACTGATCTACCGTATATGGTGGATCAACCGTACTGCACATGAATGGCAAATCTGAGTCTTACAAGAAATATTGCACCTGTGTACCATAAAAAAAAAAAAAAAAAAAAGATGATAGCTTTTCCTTGCGCAAGCAAGGACTTCATGCTCTGATGGCCTGCTCTGAGTTTGGCTTCTAAGTGTTACTCTATACATTACCTAAACTATTGGCATTTGCTTCCCCTCTCTTTTAGAAAGTAACATAACCTTAGGGCTTAGGAGTCATTAGACCAGAAGGAGAGAGCAGGATTATTTTCTGCATTTTTATCCTGAAACAGTCCCAAAACCAAGACATTATCACTATGCTTTTATCTGCAAAATAGATTATATGCTTTCAGTTGATCTATGGATGCTTCTTATAGTAACTTGGATAAAACGTAGTTCAAGCTTACTGAAAAGAACATTCATAGTTTATTTTTTTTACCAGAACACAAACTAGGTATAACTGTATCTGTATTAAATTGATAAATCTGTCTCTTATGTTGTGTATGTGATTTTTTTTTTTTATTTTATTTTATTTAAGGCAGCTGAGAATGGAGCAACGGGTGTTGAGCTGGATCTTGAATTTACTGCAGATGGTGTTCCCATTCTAATGCACGATGAAACTGTAGAAAGGACAACTGATGGGTCTGGAAGATTGCGTGACTTGACTTTTGATGAAGTTAGGAGGCTTAATCCATCTGCAAAACATAGGCTACGGTAAATGAACTATTGCTATTCTGAAACTACTGCTTCAACAGTGAAAAGCATTCTCGATAAATAAAACTGATTTGATCTATCACTGATGAAAATTTTTGTAAATTTAAAACTTAATTCCACATATAACTTCTCATTTGATTTTAGAGGTGTGTGAGACTATATCTCCTTACCCATCCTTGCAATAGGAACAGTGAAGCTGGGTCAAGCTAATTGGCTTTCAAGGACAAAATCCACAGGCATCTCTTGTGAAACAGGTTAATCTCTACATAAGTTTCCCCTGAATTGACTGCAGGACCCCAAAGATGCTGGGAGTTTCACAGTATGTAAAAATTGGTTTGAGTAATTACTTCAAAAATTAATTTTATTTACATATATTTCTTGATTGACTGAGCCTTGGGGACTCTAAACATCAGGATTATACTGTTGAAAAGGAGCCAGACAGATTTCCTGGGTAGCCTTAGATAGGAGCTGTGACCCCAGCAACTGATCAGGCCCTTCCCAGTTGAAAGCAGGGAAAAATATTTTTATATACTACTAAAATTTAGATGAAACTGCAACTTTTACAATATCATAAGTGAATCCATTTTAGAAGAACTAATGTGTGTTCTTTGCATTTCTGAGACACTGCATTAGGGATTTCCAGATTCCTATAAATGTACCACCTCTGAGTATGGAACAAGTAGCATCTTCCCCAGCTATAACTGGAAAGGTGATCACCTGAGCCACTCAGCAAGAGCTTCCACATGGGCAGTTACTCTTGATCAGCTGTTGTTCACTGCCACCCTATCAGGAATAATTTATTGATGTGTGAAGCTGCTTCTCCTACATCCTCAGCTTGTCTTGCTTATTCTGTCAGGATCTGCATTCCTGGCTCAGGGCTAGGGAGCACAGTCCAAGCAGGGTGAAGGTGGTCAGCAGCTGGGACCGAATGCTTATTTGTGGTAGTTGAGAAAGGAGGTGAAGAACTGAGGTTAATGTGTTGGTGTGGGACAGAGGGTCAGTGAGCATCAGATTAGACCTTGAATTTGGAAGGATATCATTGTCTAGTGGGATCCTGGGGACAAAGGAGATGGGCACATACTCTTCTACATGTTCAGCCTTTTACTGGGAGAAGAGAGCCTCACTGCTATTGCTCGTGGTGCTTGATCCCACCTCTAATACTAGTGTACCAGCAAACTATGTTCAGTAATCTCTAGGAAACAGCTCTGTATAGTGGGGGAGGTGTGTGTCCGTGTGTGTGCATGTGTGTCTTGACTGCATTCCAGTGAGGAGTTTTCTGTTTCTGCAGGAGCAAATTCCAGGATGAAACGGTACCAACTCTGAGAGAAGCTGTTGTGGAGTCTATGCATCACAATCTTCTAATCTACTTCGATGTCAAAGGCCATGCAAATCAGGTACCACTTACTGTACTAAGACAGCTTCCTTCACCCTTTCTTTGGGTTTCTAACCTGCTTTTTTTTTGTTGGTCTCAAACAGATATGTGTGCTACAGTCCATTCTCTAGTATAAGTGAGACTGGGTCTGATATTTGTGTCACCCAAAGTTGGGCTGTCAAAGCAAATATATGTTTCCTCGTTCCATTCCATTGTCCTGGGAAGCTGCAACTTAAAATTAGCATGAGGCTTGTGAGTGTCGAGTTCAGCTCCCAGCACCATGATGAAACAAAGCCAAGTGAATTCCCTGCCTGTGCCAAGGGAAGCTAGTATCTCATCTTCAGCCTTCAACTAATGACCAATCATTAACATTTTATGCAAATATTGAACTAAACCCTGTGTAGTACTTCAGAATTTAATCCACAATATATTTAAAGGTATTTCAAACACTGAGAATGCCACTTGCTGCTGTAAACAGAATCACAAAAAGGACTTCTGTTGCAAAAAAAAACCCAAAATGTCATTTGTGTTAATGGTATAAACAAGATGCTGTTTTTCTTCTTCCCCCTTTCCATTTCAATCTTGTTACACAAAACAAGAAAATATTTTTAAAGGGGATTATTCTAAAATGACTTTGCAATGTAAAGTCTATATGAGCAAATGTATGAACATAACGTGTGTGTATTTCTAATTGGCAGGCAGTTGATGCCCTGAAACAACTGTATCTGGAATTTCCACGTTTGTATAACAGCAGCGTAGTCTGTTCTTTCATGCCAGATGTTGTTTATAAGGTGAGGTTTCCTAAAAGTTTATTTTGGACTTTTTTAGTTCTGTCTGGGAATTTCAGTAAAATATACAATTCCCAGTCCCAGGTGACTTTCGGGTTGTTAAAATTGCCAAGACTTTTTTTTGAAAAATGAAGCATAAATCATAAGTCTCTTGCATAACCTTGTTAGATCACTCTGTCCTCATTAGTTGCACATACAAATATACAGCAATTCTCTCCATTCTGAAAGCTGCATAGAAAAAAGTGCACAGCTGGCATATGGCCAGGTATCTGTGGGCAAGGTACCTGTTAAATAAACTTCATATTTTGATGTAAAAGCAGACAATTCTTAAAACTGTTTCCTAATTCTCATTGCCAAGTCCATTTACTATGTATCTTATTCTATTGCCTGATGGTTATGCAATTTTTTTAACAGAAGAGCAGTTGCTTATTCAGTAGGTTTTAAATAGAAAACAGTAAAATATCATAAACTGCTTTCTAAAAGAGTTACAAAAGGATTGAGGGGGAGGAGGAGAAGGATTCTGGTAGAGCTGCAAATGCAAGCTAGCACTTTGTATCTAACCTCTTCCAGTTTATATTTAACACAGCTTGGCTTTTGTATGAATTACAGTCTTTTCTCTTTGATCTTACAGATGAGACAAGCTGACAGAAATGTTGTAACAGCACTAACACACAGGCCTTGGCATCTGAGTCATTTTGGAGATGGGACACCCCGTTTCAATTCCTCCTGGAAACATTATTTGTATATGATGATGGATGTCATTCTAGATTGGAGCCTACACGCTTTCTTGTGGCGGTTGTGTGGGGTTTCAGCTTTCCTCATACAGAAAAATTTTGTTTCTCAGTAAGTGTTAAAGCTTGCTAATGTATCAGGGGGGCAATAGCATTCTGTTAGTATAGAGTTAACAACAGTGTACGTTCATCAGTATGTTCCATTTAGTGTTGTGTAAGGTTCATTAGATTGTTTCTTTAACCACATGCTATTTTATTATTTTAAGCCTTTATCTTTTCAATCTGTATTTTTATCTTATGTTAGATCCTAGATTTAATCTCAAAGGGGAAGAAAACTGTTGCTTTTGCCTGTTTACAGTAACAAAACACAAAAAGATGACGTTGCAAAAGATGATGCGCTGTTATTCTTGATGTGCTACTGATATAAGACTACAACTCAGTTGTAGCCTCAGCACTGTCTGCCTTAAATAGGGTAGTGTCAGCCTTCCTCGTACGGTGTCTTTGTTCCCTGCAGGGAGTATGTGAGGCACTGGTCTTCAAAAGGAATTCAAGTCGTTGCCTGGACAGTGAACACATTTGCAGAAAAAAGCTACTATGAAAGCGTCCTTGTATCCAGCTACATCACCGACAGCTTGGTGGAAGACTGTGACCCTCACTACTAGACCTGTGCTTGGTAGACACCAACCTGAATAAACTATCTTACTTGGGCAGGTCTGAATTCTCCATCGAGCGGGTATCCACTGGTGCAGGTGGGACCACTAATGATAGTTCTGGGAAAAGGAAGAGCAGTAGCTTACTTCTGTATGGTCAGATTTCAAATGCAGAAAAACCCTCTGCTGCAACACTGGACAAAGCTGAGGTGCAGCCATTTGCAGTCAGAGGAGATCGTGCCGTAATGTAACAGGAGCAGATTTGACAAGCTAACTGGGCAATTCCCTGTATGTTCAGGTCGCCTTAGTTCTCACACTGTTCCTCTGCTTTGTTTCCATCTTGGTTAAAAAGTCGTATCAGCAATTTTTGGTAGTAAAATTTAAAAACATACCTTGAATTTAGTAATTTAAAATGGGCTGTTCTACAACTATATAATAATTTGAGGTTGATCTACGGCATCTTAAAAAATTTACATTACTGTTCTCACAACAGAAGCTGAAAATAATGGTGCCAAAACAGCAGTGAGTGTATTTCCCTCCTACTGCACTGAAATATGACCGTGCTGCATCTTGATGAGGAAAAGAAAGCCAACGTCCCATGTTCAATGTAAAGACTGTGAGAATTAATGAATAAAACTTGAGTATCTTCTTTCAGACTTTTTAAAAGAACCAAGGGAGGATATATTCTTCTAATTCTGCAGCACATGAATGTATTTATTTTTCAAAGAAAGCTGTATAATGAGTGCTGGTAGAGGTAGAACAAACAGAGCTGCACTGTCTTTTTACTTTGCTTATTGTTTTCATGACTGAAAGGCACTCACAAGGATATGTGGGAAACTAATCCAGACTTAACTTGAAATCAAAAAAGTCTGCAGTTACAATAGGTAAGTATCTGACTGCTCAGGGGTAGGGTATTCTTTATCAGCTGTACACCTGTAGATTGATGTAAAATGTCAAAATTAGTGTACGTTGCTTGCTGTTTTTTCTAACAAGTAAAACCCCCAGGGTGTTCTCATCACAGCTGTCAACAGGCCATGAACAATTCTGGCTTTGCTCGGGAAGGAGCAAGGATTTACAAGATTAGCAAGAACAGAAAACTGCAGCCAGCCCTGATATAAATTAGCTCACCTTTTCTTAATGGCCAATAAATGGAATTACTAAGTTTAATAATTTAATTTCAGAAGAATGTGATACTCATTTCAACAGAAATGAGGAATTTAAACATTTAACTGCTTGGTTACGGGCTGCAGGCTATTCAGGTATCATCTCCCCAGATACCTCAGGCTGCACCGTGTAGGGATTTGGATATTTGCCCGGGAAGTGTAACCATGTTTTAGTAAGGTCGTGCCTTGTGCTGCGCCAGTGGTGTGGAATTCAGTGTTCCCTTGTGAGGGCAGTGCTGTTTCAGGTGAGGTGCTGCACCGTACCCTGGTGATGGCTGGAGGAGGGGCTGGGGCAACTATGCCTCAAAGTTAGAATTAGTTCTTATTCACAGACCCAACTGAAACTTCTAAAAAACCTTTATAAAAGAGGCAAAAGGTTAGTAATGAAAAAAAATCAGTCAATGGTGGGAAGAACTCCACAATTGTCCCAACCAAGTTAAGTCCAAACTTCTCAACTAGCAGCAGATTAATGTTACCTTCTGCAAGGGGTAAGGGAGTGTTTGCTTGTATCGTAAGCACAAAGAAACTTAGGAATAAGGAGGTGGGTTTTCCTGTCAGGATGACGGTTCACATCACTCATCCACCTTGCACTGCAGAACCAACCATCTCTATAGGTGCATACCCTATACCATGTGTACGTTATGCCCTCAACCAGGGTCTCCAGCCATATCAGGAGTGCTGCAGCCTTTGCCTTCGCTGCAGTGTTGAGCAGGCGCTCCCAGAGCAGCCAGCAGAAGAGCACATGTCCCATCATGGCAAATGATCTCAGCTCCAAAGGTCCATTGTCTGTTGCTGCTTGAGTTGCTGGCACTGAGCCTCGGTGCCAAAACTAGGCTCATATTCAACACTCACAGCCAGACTCCATCACTTTACATACATAAAGACATAATAAAATTGAATCGCTGGTCTTGCATTGTATGTGAAGTTTGTCCTTTTTCTGTCCCTTTGGTGGTGTTTTGGGGTTGTTTAACCTAAATTATGAGCATGAGGAAAAGATGTGCCTCTTTCCTGAAGCATTTTTATGCCCAAAGCAATGAGGGAGGAGTAAAGCAGGCAGTACTAGAAAAATGGGCTTTAAAAAAAACCTATCATCATGGCAAAATTGTGGCTCTGAATAAAAAGAAGCTGCATCAAGTATCTCAGTCAGATATAATTAAAAAAAAATAATCTCAATTGTGTTATTTCCAATCTATCCTTTATTGGAAAAGATAGGTATAAACTTTTTGTTCACAAGCACTGGTTTTACACAGATGAGAAATTTTGATAAGCACTCGTAAAAAAGGGTTCTGATAACTCTTAACACAAAGGTGCTTCTGAGTAACTGTAAAACTGTACAGGTAGGTCAGAAAATTGAAAATGGAACAGAAGCTTAACCTGGTTCACACAAGCTACTTTACAGCCATTACAAGGTCTCTTGTCATTAAAAACAACTACACTTTACTTTCCTTCTATTGTTATTTGACCAATACGTCACTTCTGATTTAGATCAGATAAAAGCAGTTTGAACAATATAATGGATATAACAGTATTTTTAGACCAAAGCTTTTATTTACAATAGGCACAAGTTCCCTTATGTTCAAGGAGAAGTGAGCAGCTGTGGAGGGACCCTTATTGTGTCGAGGTAGCGGCCAGTCCTGGGGAAAGCTGGCTGTCACCAGTATATCACTGCTTCAAAAACAAACCAAACACACAGGATATTCCCCAGCGTAACAATAAATTACATTTGAGATGCATTTCTATTTTTCCTTCCATTTAGGGGTAAGAAGTGTTATCAGTGCAAATGAGTATCATTTTCTGCAGAACATCAGCCAATGACTTCACGTTTAGTATTGTTTCTGCCTGTTCATGGCCAAAAGTCTGCCGTCATCTTCATCTTCCCACTGAGCTGCTTCTCGAGCACGCAGAGCGAGCGCCACTGCCTCAGACACGCCTGGCCTGCCACTGGGCTGGGCTGCCTCTGAATCTGTTTTTCAGAAAGGAAGTAATGTTATCTGTGCTGGTACACCCACCCCCACACGCCGTTCAAGTGTCTCATCTGTCAAGTATTTGGAATGAAGTTACATGTCTGTGTAAACCATGAGAAGTTCCAGCTACCACACAAGCTTCCATAGCTGTTTTTTATTCCAGACATATGATGTTCCAGGGACTCTACACCATTAATAACCTTCTCCGAGGTTCACACCAAGATGTGAAGCATATCTCTAATGTCATGTCATACGGGAGCAGCCACAGGCAAGAATAAAATGAAATGGCTTTTACCCAAAGAAATTAAACTCTGGTGTACAGAAACTTGTGATCAATCTTCAGAAGTCACCATCAATACTGCAACAAGCTAATAATAAGCACATCCTATAGATAATGTTTACCCCAGAAACCCAGTCTTTTTGTTTTCTCTTTATACAAGGTGCTAAAATTCTGTGTCTTTTCCATCAAGCTGTTACATGCTGTGTCTGTACTGTATCAAACAGTTTTACTGAGCTGAGCCTCTAAGAGCTGCTTTCTGTGTTTAGCATTTGTTGCTTACCTAGTGGGAAGCCAGTCCCCCTCAAGATCCCAACAGCATCAGGGCACTGAAAACAAAATTCACAAGTAGACTTAGGTTGATGTTTCCCTCACATGCCTGTTACCTTGCATTTAAAAAGATACCAGTTACCTGGAACAAAATCGTACTCTCCAGATCTTAAGCAGGTCTGTGTGAGTATTCCAACAGCTATTCTGATTCCCCATTTGTACCTCCTAGATTAGGAATGTTTTCTTGCAATTTTATAACCATAAATAATGTCTCGTGCAGGTAAGGAGTTTTTTATATCCTTCCTGGGCTAAATTCCAGTCTGCAGCAAACAGTTAGGGAATTTCAACAGTATCCTTTTACTGTCTGGAGTTAACCAGTAATCAATCAATTTACATGAACTTTTAAATACAGACCTATCCGAAAATGGCAGCCTATTTGCAAGGCCAGAGAAACCCCATGGAATCATACCAAGCATGTAATAGAAACAGCAGTACCTGAACTACCAAACTGACCTGCTGGCCTTGTCCTCTTGGCACAGATGGGTTTTGGTTTCCCCTTTGCAGATCCCGTAGTTTTTCAAGTAAAAACTTTTTATCTTTTATTCCCTATGGTCAAGACACATTTGATCATTAGCTGGAATGGACTAATCATTCTTGAGAAGCTCAAGGCCTACAAGTAACTATTGTCCAGAATAATCATCAAAATATCTTTTATTTATAAATAATCTGTCTAGAGAGGCAGCTGCAGCAGTACAGCTTGAAAGTAAAATTATTCTGCAACAACTCTATTTGTGAGTTAAGTTCTCTGCAATTCACATGGGGGAGGGCTCCCACCCTCCCCTGAACTGTCACAGAAAAAGCAGATTACAGCTCCACAATAGCAGGATGAGACAATCAACAAGGAAGCAAAATTTTTAAAAAGATAAAGCCGAAAGTCAAACTTACATTATGGATTTGCTTATGTAAGAGTCTGACCATGGTCCTTCTTCCTTCTGTTATTTGCCAGTAAAGATAAGTAATAACTCTAAACAAACAAACAAAAAAAAAGCCCAACATATGAGCATTCATACCCGTGAGTATTTCCTCCTAGTCACTGGCTAAACATAAAGTCATCTTGTTTATTTTACCCACTAAAAGATATATATATATATATATATGCATATGTATACATATATGTTTGTACATATATATACAGACACATATATAAAAAGTGCATGTCTAGAGTTACACAAGGAATAGCAAACACATGAAACTGCTTATGATTTTCTCTTGGAAAGACACAAAAATTTATGGACTTGTATTCAAGATAAGAGGTACAATTAAAGTCAGTCAGCAATACCAGGTGCTTTTCAGATAACAAAGAGGAACCTTATGCTCTTATCCAACTTTGTGTCGTTTTCTTAGACACATGCCCAGACCTTAAATCACACCACTGAGCACTTACTGCTTTCAGGCCGATCCTGGAACCACTAGAGTGAATGGGAACTTGTTTTATGAGAACAGGTTTGGGCTCTTAACTGTGCATGGCCCATGCTAGAAATATCAAGCAGTAGAGCTACAATATCAAGCCCTACCAGTAGGCACACAGATTAATATGCATGGTTTTGCCAAAATAACTTACTTCATCCAAGGGGACAGCATGTGAATTTACCTGAGATGAGCTGGAAGCAGACTGCAACCTACATACTAGCATCTCCCCATACGGTGCAATCACTTTAACATGCTGCTTGTGCACCACCACACCCTTCCACTGCAGCGTCCCCAAGTAGTTCAGCTATTCTTAACAGGATATAATTTCCTTTAAAGACTCCACTGATGAGAAATAGTCAGAAAAGACAAAGCAACCATCTCCCAAACTTCTGGTTTTTGTGTTGCTCAGGATTCTAGTATAGATCTGGCCTGTACTGCCTGTGCTCGTGAAGCTTGCTCTTTCCCTACTGATTTATTCACCTCTGGGGGAAAAAAAGAAGAAAAAAAAAATGGACACTTTATTCTGCCAGCTGTATGCAGCATGTTCCCTTTTTCTGATGTTCCTAAAGCTAAGTGTGCCAGTGGTAATAAGATCTGGAGCATAGGTAGCAGTAAACTAGAAATACTCAGTTAAAAGCAGCGTATCCTAGGGTTTGCATGAAGCTGGTTTGTAAAGAGCTCTGACATCCTAACATAAAAGGAATAGGTTTTGTAACTTACGTACTTCAAATACATGAATTTCCAATATATTAACCATTTCCGATGCTTTAAAATGCACTTTACAATTTATTTTTTTTTAAATGAAGAATGGCTATGGCACAGCCAGTTTCTTCCACTTCAGATTCTTTTCTGGTGCTTTTCATTAGCAGGTACTTACAGGACAAACGTGGAGAGGATGAAGAAGAAAAGTTCATTTGTAATTAAGTTATAGTAGATCCACACTACCCACTTTGAGGTAGTGTAATTTTCCAGTATTTTTATCCACTCAGAGACTGCAGCATACATAGAAGACAAACCTCTGAAAGGACCACATTCTTCTGAAGGTTTTAACCTGAAAGTGTGAGAAAACAGCTACTTAAAGCTTCATATATTAACCAGTGATTTAGTTAATATTGTGATTTTGTACATCAAGATGCTCATTAGTTTGCTATAGCCCTCTGTTCTCTTTGGACCCTCAGGGAACTTCCATGATCTACGTTTGATTTTTAACTTGGGTCACTCTCCAGCCATCAGACAACCCACCCCAGACTATGCCGCGAGAGATAAGAGACCCCACTGCAATGGATCGGTACCAAACCCTGTGAGCACAATCTTGACCTAAATGTAGCAAGTCAATCACTGTAGTGCAAGCTACAGCAAACTGAAAATCTGGATTTTTCAAAGTTTCACCACAGGTGCTTAAAGGAACCATTATTTCATCGTGTCTTCGAGGACATGAGTCACTACAGATTTTCTCTAACAACAGGATGTGGTGAACTAAGGCAGCCCATAGCAAGAATTAATGTTTCCAGGTAGACTGAAATATGAAAATGATGTTTGCTTTGAAAATGAACCACTCCGGTTTGAAATTCCCACTTGCCATCTAGAAATGTTTGCTCTGAAATAGTTCGTCCCACCTGGTTTCATGTGCAGCCACTTGTCTTACTAAATATTGAAATCACGTGGCTGAGAATTTCCAAGAAAAAGAAAAAGAGTATCTATGCTGCCCTCATTACTGTGACCAGAGTAACATGCACACAAACAAAGCAGCTTTAAAATACTGGTAACAACCAAGATGCATTACTGCAGAGGTCAGCACTCCATGCAAAAAGGGCCTCTGAATTTCATAAATAAACCAAAAGTTAACCTCAGTTGAGTTTTTCCAGGTGTTCTTCCACTGCAGACCCAGTATGGCCCATAACATAAACTAGTCCGGGAACTAGGACTAGGCTGCAGAAACTTTTAAGGAGGAAGAAAAGCCAGATTTGCTGTGACATTTAAATAAAACTTCAAGGTAACTTTGTTTCTCCTCCTACTTTCTTCTGGGACAAATTACTGCGTTAACTACATCTTGTTTTCAGAATACAGAATCTCGTGGACATCTGACACCTTCCATTATCAAGTAATCTAGCTTTTTTCTATAGAAAAATGCAGATTCCTCTGCCTGGAATCAGGTCACACAGCATAATATAGCAGGCTTCAATACCAGTGATCTTCCATACCTCCAGACAGTGACTGCAATGACAGACAGAACTCCAACGAAAGAAGGGAAAAACAGCAGGAATATGAAGGATGTTGTCATTTGAGCAGATCTCCAGACTTTGCGAGGGGATTGGCAATTCTTCATCAGGCTGACCTTTAAAGAGATGAAAGTACACTGACTCTTGGAATAGTGTTACCTGCCACTTCAACTCGGTTTAAGTTAATCCCACTGAAACTGTTGGTGGCAATTGCTGGAGTAGCATCTATCAAGTTCTCAAGAACTTCTTTTATATGAATTTGATAGATATATTGTAGTTTTAGAAAACTTCAAGAATGTAGTCTCTAAACAGTAAGAGGCAAAATGAGGTTCTGATGGGTTCTTCAGGACTCTGTTGGGTAGAGTTTGCTTTTGTAGCATAGGCAAACCCACCATTCAGGGAAGTTCGAATCATTCTGTCTAGCTTTGGCTTCGTTGGATACAGAAATATGTTTTTGGATACAGAAACCCAACGCTACAAACTGTTTAATGACCCTACAAACTATTAATGACCCTACAAACAATCTATCATATAGTCATACTACTGAGACAAATAATTCTGAAAAGAAGAAATTTCCACCTTGCTCTTTAGCTGAATCACCCTGCTTACACTTAGGTAACTTGGAGTGTGCTGGGGATTAAGCAGGAATACAAAGTCACAGCCACAGGCTGAGTGTCTGTATTGACATAAGCATCTGTACACTGTTAACTCCTCAGCTTGTAATTTTACTGCTGCATTCTCTTCCCTCCCTAACTGTGCTCTTAACCTCTCCTGTAACCCTTCCATACTTTTCCCCCCTCTCAAGTGTTACAAGTTTGTTAATTCAAGGGTGTGTATCTAAATTGTGTTCCTTTAAAGCACATCCCCCCCTCCAAAAAAAAAAAGAAAACACCAAACAATCAACCAAACTGCTCCCCTAAATTCAAAGCCCCACAACATCCAGGCAAAACCAGCACTTTAACACAATAAATTCTGCCCAGATTTCAAACGATGTAAGTTTATGATGAATACATGCAAAGCTTGTTACCTTCTTCACATAAAATACTATAGAAAATGATATCGTCTGGATACCAGGCAGCAGAGGTGAAAAGAGGATACCGATCCTACAAGAAAGGATTTGTAAGAAAGAAGTTAAATCCTGACTATTCACCACACAGCTCTCAGTGCACTGAAAGCAGAAAATATCACACTAACTTCATATACAGTTAGTGTTTGGTTATTTGGAAATGTACTTATATTAACATTGATCCTATAACAGTAAATCAACCTTTAAGAATATGCAAATGCAAACATAAATATCTATCTACACATCTGCAAAACTCTCATATATAATTGGAGTAACATACTCATTCTGAGAAATAAGGCATATTTTCTAGGGTTTAGTACTGAGACTATTTCAACACCATTCCACTGGGGAAGTAATCAAAACTCTAGAATGCTCCTTTTACAGGTTTCTCCCACACCACAGGGTGGCCACAGGTCAAACTACTGACTACGGTTATTGTTATCACCTGTGTAAGTACAAAGAGAACTGGCAAGTCACAGCCCTTACAAAGGTACTTAATGTATCATCTCTCTCAGGCATTTATCCTGCTCTTTCCCCCCATGATGAGAAGCACCCAGAAATGTCAGAATAAGAATGTTCCACATTATTTCTAAGTGCAAATGAAGTCTTGGCTATAAAGGTAACACTTACCAGGTCAAAGTCTGTGCATAGATCAAATCTAAAACATTTCGTCCGATATCAAATACTGGCAATCCCAGGTTCACAAAGACTATAGTTCCAAAAATTCTGGGGGTGAGGCGGAAAAAACCAAACACAGCACAGTAGAATTTATTAAACGATAAAATCCTTTTTAGAAATCACTACAAATGACCTCCTGAATTCAAGCATCGGTGACAAATTATTTAGGGGCTGCATTAATCACGTCATGCAAAGCAGCCACAGCTCATTGATTAGACAGCACGTCAAAAATGAAATAGAAATTGGCAAACGCAGACTCCCATTGCACACAGCAGGATTGAAATAAATCCTACAATATCTTTACATGCAACTCAAAAACAAAACAAAAAAACCCCAAACAAACAAAAAAAAACACCCAGAAAATAGGGGAAAGAAAGGATTTGTAATTATATCACAAAAGCATGCTTATGCTTGAACAGTTGAAATGGCAAGTTGCCTCAGTACAAAATTGTACCAGCTTTTCAGTTCCTGAGTCCTGAGAATTTTCATCCTTTAAAAAGAACCTAGATCTTGTAGACTGATCCTTTTAAAATAACCTAGAGTATATTCTACTTCAAACTAACTGAGGTTGCAAGCAGTTTAGACATACACAGGTAACTACTCAGACAATTCCTACTGAGGACCAACAACCCCTTTTTATCACCTCATTTTTCCTGAGCTGGGGAGATTGAGTTTCTGCTTGTTGTAGCAAGAACAAGAAAGGTTTTGGTAACTATCTCATCTTGCTGAGATATTTCAGGGAGTTACTCTGAATACATACAAATAAATATGAACACTTATACTTTTAATCTTTCATGGCTGTAAAACGGGTGCTTTTGCACAGCTTAGAGGAAGACATCTGTCACAGCTGACTGCAGTTTTCGTACTGTGACCTTTTGCTGGGAGGTGGTTTCCTATCTGAACAGCACAAGAACAGGAGGATTAAAGTACACTGACAAGACCTGTGGAGGGAAAGTCTTCAAGGACTTCTTAATGTTGTTTTCTGTTAAGTTAACATGAAGTTAACAAAGTCCGACCTTGTACACCAGTCTTGTTCACATCATGTGCAAAGGGCAAACAATGGATCTCCTACACAAGTGTGCCAGGAACCCTAAATGCTCTTAAGAGCTGGCAAGCACTTATATACTCTACCTTAAGTCATAAATAATGTTTGGCAATAAGAAGCTACATAGAGTAGATGTCAGAAGTAAATAACTTATTGCTTACATGCTTAGCTGTATTCACATTCAGTTAAAAATGCTTTCTCACTGACCACGCTGCAGAACTCTACACTTGAGAGTCATACGACATCCTTAATAAGACTGATTAAAATAAGATTTTAAATTTGTGTGCACTCTATAGAGTGCTGTAAGAGGAAAAAAAATTACAGGGAGGCATACCAAGGAAAGCCAGCAGTGTGCCTGTGCATACGCAGAAAAGCAAGGTTTTCTGCTTGAGACACATGGTCCTTTGTCACCCCATTCAGGGGATCCACTGGAGTACAGTGGCTTCCTCCCTGCCTGCATTTCCATCTCCAAAGGAAAAAAGGACACCTTGGGAGAGTAGAATGGTACACACTCTAACCTCCTCCCAAGAAGGAGCTACACTATATGCAGGGCATGTACCCAGAGATTACACCTGATAGAGACAACCAAGGAAGCTCCAGTGGTGCCACAGCCATGCTTCTGTTGGATTTCTTTTTTCACATTGGACTAAAAGACCGTGTCTTTGAGTTAGTTAATAAAAATAAGATAAGAAAAGTAGTACTCACCTCCGTAAAAACTCTCCAAAGAAAGAGCCAAGCAAACAAAATATGAAGTCAACTAAAACAAGACGATAAATATCTTGGCCAACAAAAGTTTCCCAGCACTAAATAAAGAGAAGAAAAAACATAAAAATGCATATGTAGAAGTCAAAAATCATGCAATTCTGACACTGTTCCCAAATGCTTGGGCATCTAAAACTTGGGCTACAGATCAAAGATTTGCTAACAGCCTGACTAATCATAGTCGACCTCTCATTGAACAGTGCTGCAAACCAGCTGAGACCCGAGTTGGGTGATTCATTTTTTCCTGAAGTTCACTTCTCTAAAGATGCTAATAAAAAATGTTGAGGTGGCAAATTCAGCTTTCCAAGACACTACATGTACTTCTCTTTGCTGGAGCAAGCCTCTCAAAGTGGTTCCTAACCTGGCATTGTAAGTCAAAGATTTGTATTGCTGAAACTTTACCTGTGACTCTGATGCAGCCACAATATTAAGCCAGTAGTAGCACAATATTCCAACAATTGATATTTTCAGGATGATATTTCTAAAAAGAAAAAGTAACAGTAACTGCACTGACAGCTGTAAGGAACTGAAGGAGTTAATGCCTCAAGCATTCATCAACACTGAAAACTTTGACAAGCTGTGGCCTTTGTGATTTGTCTAAGGAATACTGCCCAAGGAAGCACAGAAGGATGCACAGCTTCACTCGCTTGTGGTTATACTGCCAAACTCCTTAGATAAGTTTCAAAGGAGAGAAATGTGGATGGAGTGAAACCTTATGTTCAGGTTGAAGAACTGATAAGAGAGAGAAATAACCAGCACCAGAATGCCCCAAGGAAAAACTGAGATAAAAATAAGGGGGGGGAGGGGCAGGGGTGAGCAGGACCATGGGGTTGGTGCACCCCATTCCCCCTCAATGCATGCACAGAAGCCAGGCTCCTTATCTCTCATGGAAATGTGTTTGTGGAATACTTGCCTCTTTTGGTATAATATGCTAATCAGCTGATAAAGATGAACTTAAAAGGTGACAGAAAACTTTGCTATGTGTGCACCCACTACCCAAGTTAACTCAACCTGAGACAATGCTGGAACCTGGGTGGTGAACTAGACTCCTCTCCCTCTCCTCTCCCTTCTTTTCTCTCTCTTATAGATTTATCAGTAAGAGACCACATTGCTTATTATCCTTTTCCAAGCTTAAGTTGTTTCTACTGCAAGCAAAACATTTTAACTGGACATTTGGTGTCATTTCACCCTAATTTAATCTGATGGGATCACAGAACCTTTATGACTCCCTGGGCTCCCGGTCTGGGTCATAACAACAGCTGGTCCCTCAGATCACTGGAGGGAAAGACAGCAGCAAGACCGTTGGTTACACTTTATTACCTCCTCTTATACGAACAATAGCACTGCAGAGTGCCAGAACTAGCAGCAGCTCTTCCCCTAGCTTAGGTGCAACATTATTCTATTGTTCTGGCAGAAGGGGAGCTGGGCACAACAACCTTGGCACAAGCCTCTGCTAAACAAGCTGCTGGGTTGGGTGTTGCAGGCTCCACAGGGGAGGAAGGTCTGAGGGGCACTGGGGGTTATGCAGTGTTAATTCCAGGCATCTGTATTTAATTAAGACTTCCTCACTCCTCTTTACCTTTCCCTGGGGGGGCAACAGCCCTAGGGAAGCTACAAACAAAGCCATGCCCAGTGTCACAGTGTGCCTAACTGAGAGGGAAACCATACCCTGTCCTCATGCAGAGATGTAACATGCCATAAGGCTCACAGAATACAAACAAAACATGGAGGGAAGAGTGTACAGAAGCCTTTGGAAAAGATGAATTCTCCTCCCTAGCTCCCTACTACCCACCACACCACCTAGACACAGCTTGCTGTCAAAAATAAGAGGCAGATAATTTCAGGCAAAAGGCACTAAGAGGTAGTAGCAACAAATACCTGGTAATAGTGACATATATCTGGTATACGGGAGTCTGAAATCTCTCCAGGTGTCCAAGCCACGAGTAGAAGAATGGGATAAATATGTTGAGGAGAGATACGATAACAGGTAGCACCAACATGGCAGCTTGGCTCTCTAGGTCATTTTTATGCCTTTTCACAAACACCTTAGAGGGAAACAAAAAAAAAAAAAAACAACCCCAAAACAACAGAACACTCTCAACTTAGACCTTTAACCAAAATGCTGCCTCGAGTTGTGTCCACAGGGAAGACACCTGGCACACCTCCCTATATGTTCTCAGATTAGAGACTACCACGTTTTATGGGCCCGTGTCCAGCAGCACAGCAACCCTCTCCCCTTCCCCTGCATTATTACATGGGATCAAGGGTGGGAGCCCCAGCTCAAATGCAGCTCCTAGGCAAAGGAGAGGCAGGCCTTGCTAAGGCTTCTTGCTGTTTCTTTCACGGTGACCAGCTGCACTACCCCTAAGCTAGCCATGAGCCCAGGCAGGCAGCTGCTGGGTGAGGGGGCAGGTTTACTCAGACCCCTCAGCTCCTACACTCTTGCCATAGTCTGCAGTGGTGCAAGCCTTTGCAAACCAGCTTTTTAGGTACAAGAGAATATGTGATTGCGTTGACAGAAACAACAGCTATGCTTTCCTATGGTCCTAGTGGTGAACAGACCACTGCTTGCACTCAGTGTAAGATACCCATGTGGAAAAACACATCCCCAAAAACAGACTGCAAGATCTGTCCTTACCTTTAGGTTAATAATTGAGAGAAAGTAAACACCAGCACAAGCAGCTACTGCTGTTCCCAGCGAAGCAACCCAAGAAACAAGATGAATAACAATACGAACAACTCTCTCTGTTGCAGAAAAATTTAGAACTTCTTTGTTTATTTTAGCAAGGTCTTCCTGCAAGGAAACAATTCCTAATGAAGAATTCCTTAGTCACAATCATAAAGCAAAACTTGTTCCAAGTAACTACTTGACAGACTGAATAAAAGATTATTTCTCTATAAGATGGGCAGAGTAATAGCCTGGGAGCATTTACTGGACAACTTTGTGTTCCTGTCCTAAAAGTCTTTTCTTTTGACAGTTACACTGTATTTCACAAATATTACAAGCTTGCCTTTTTTTTACAAAATGGTTAAATAACAGGAAAGAAAACCAGAAGAAATATTCTGTTTGGCAAATATTTAATAGTCACAGCAATTCATTCAGTACAACAGAAGCATACAAATATTTATATGTAGCTTAAAGAGAAAAGAAAAACAAGTAGCTAAGCCAATTGAGGAGTTAAACCAAATCAAACTTAACAGTCAGGAAGTCTTAAGTCTATTAAGAACAGGACTAGCATGCTTGAGCCACTCTGCCAGAGACTTGTACGTTTATACAGAAATTTGTATGCACAGGTAAGTCTCTGGCAGAGTGACTCATGTATGCTAGTTTTGTATATTTCTATCTTTTTGTAAGTCCTGTGGTTTGTACCTTTATTTGCATGCTGAGATTCTTTTGTTTCAGCTTCACAGCTTCTTCATTAGTTATATTGAAGTCCCAAGTGCAGAGAAATTTGTTAGAAATTCCAGAGTATGTCAGAGGGTTAATGAAGTTCCTGCAGAAGGATTTTGCCATGCTGCAATGAAAATTAGGTTTGTGAGATGCATAACAGTGAAATACATCAAGTCTGTATAGCAGGGCAAGAAAGGAGATTTACAATTTTTTCTATCCCATGCCAAGGTTACTGGACCTATGTCAGATCACGTCACGTAAGACAACATGGAAAGTAAATGCAAGCAACAATTCTTACATTTCCTTTTCCTAGTTGTTGCTGACAATCTTTACCTCTGGAAAACCACATCAATACCAGAAGATATTAGGAGCAACAGCTTACAAAAGAGAGATTATGATATTCATTGGTTTGAACTAGGATTCTCTGCATGTCCCTCACTATTCTGCAGTTATTCTTCACTTGTCTAATAAAGGTTTGATTTCTGGAGACTGACTTCTGAGCAGAACCTCCTACTTAAACTCTAGACCTGGAAATAAAGACTTACAGAAACATACTCAGGTAATTATTACTGTCAACCACTAACAGGGTAGAGTTTTTCTCGTTGGTGTTTTTTTTGTTTGTTTTTTCCCCTTAATATAAGTGAAATAAGAATATATAGCTAGTTTACCTGAACAACAAGATAAAAAACCACATGACAAAATATATTCCAATGGTGAAAATATAGGCCAGCTGCATGTTGTAAGATGGACCATTCTCTGTTTTACTGATTGTAGCATTGGTGTAAAAGCCATAGTAGAGTAGTGTTTGTTGAAAATAACCCTGAAAAGATAGGGACATAATTCAGAATGTTTCCTATCACTTGCACATGGTGGGGAGTGTCATCATCTGAAGCTCAGTTAATGGAAGTGGGAGGTCTCTCACTCCCAACTGTGAAATCACAGGTGTGATTAAATTTCTATTTATCAGGCCCTTTGTTTTCCTTCTATCAGCTAAACATCTTCCATAGTTTTGAGAGCTTCTACAGATATGTAAATGACCTGTATCCTCCTTGAGACTCATGTGGGATGGCCATGAGCATTCGACAACTTTGCAGGATTTGGTCTTTTCTGAAAATTCCTGAGGAGAGAAAGGCTTAATTGTTTCTTTCTCAGGAGCAAGGTTCTGTACTGACAAATTGTATCAACTATGAAGTAATCAGGAAGGAAGCACATAACATTCAATGCTAGAGTAACTACATTATAGCTGAACTCCTGCAAAGGTGACTGTACTTTGCAAAGTTGAACAACATTACTACAAAACACAGCATTTTAAAAGCAATTTTAGAAGGAAATGGCTGACACCTTTCCTCTTAAAAAAGATCTCTCAACTAAGCATTAGTAAGAGCAGAGTCTTACTAACTAGAGAAATCCTTTAATAACAATAAAATTGGCAAGTTTTTTACAGCAAAGACAGGAGGAAAAAAAAAAAGCCTAAGTTGTCTTCTCAGATCATTTAGTTGATGAATACTAGTAGAATTAAAGCAGTGCAAAATCTTCCTTTAAACACTGTCTGGTACTTTATTTGCTGAGTGTAAAGATCTCCACACAATGAAAAAATCCTCCTGTTTCCAGGCCCCATGAAGTTCAGCAGGTTGCTGAGAGAGATCTCCTTGTGTGCTCCTGTGAAGAATAAAACTTTGGAAATAAGCAAAATTCACAGGATCGCATATGGAAACCTGCACTGTATTTTCAGAGGAAAATTAGTATGGGAAAAATGTCCCACTGAAGATTATTGTAGCCATCTCTGGAAGGTCTGGCTTCCTTTGTGTCTCTTCCACTGCTTTCTGAGTGATGAAAGTCAAAATATTACTGAACACAGCAATCATTTGCAGCGAGACAAATGCATCAGAGTGAGTTCCATTCATCTCACTGAGACAATGTTTGCTGCAGCTTCTTTTTCAAATACATACTAAATACTGTTTCTAGTCACATCAAATTATAACTCCACCTCTTAATAAATACTAACTTTTTTTAGTCTATCCTGGTTTTTAAAGTAGATCTGTACACAGTACTAATACAAATCTGTTGTTACATACTTACAGCTCCAGTGAGCAGTTCCAGACCCGTGAATGAAAGGTTATTTGGTTCTGCTGCAACAAGCTGAGGGATTGTGATGAAACTGAAGTTTATGAGGAACGAGAAGAGGTTGAAAGTTAGCAGCCACTTCAAGAAAATAAAGTAAGAAAGAACACTTTTTCCAAACTCAGCACCAATGATCTTCAGAGTCTTGTGCCACAATTGCAGTAGGTGAAAATACTCTGACAAGCTATTTCCAAATCGCCGAAGAGCCTTAAGTGCAAAGGAGGAGAGAGAGACGAATATCAGCAAGCAGTCTTAAACAGGACTCAAATTCACATAATAAAGCCTAACATTTTTTACAGTACCATTTTGTTAGTAAGAACACATTTCCTCCACTACATGCACCATAAGTTGCTTAACTGGTGTTCCTAAGTGCTACCATATTGCAAATAATTATTAATGAACACAGCAGCAATTAATTGGTTCTTTGTTAATTAACATAAAGCAACATACCTCTGGAAACAGCCGTAAAATTGCAGCTCAAGTGGGCTACTCTGTTGTGACTGACAGACTTTTCTAACACTTACCACTACTGTTCCCTGCAGACACTCCATACAGCAGGAAAGTTGAATACAGTCATGCCTTGATTTTTTTGTTATTTCTTTTAGAACTTTATTCCTGTGGAAGAGCAGGACAGGGAGTGACAAGTATTACAGTATGGGTTGTAATTAAAACAAGAAGCCAAAGAAGCTGTTGCAAATACAGTTTCACACATCTGCACATGAACAGAGTTAATAAAACATTGAGATGTTCTGACAGTTCTTCTTCTATCAGCCGATACCATGGCTCTTGTCCATGCTATGACAGCATGTTATAACCCCTCCACTAACTCACTTTGGGAACAAAATTTAAATATATTCTGTGAGGAGACAAAAGGATGCTTGAGACCATGTGGTCCCTTCTCAATTTTCAATCGCCAACATTCAAGTTTCCTTTGGAAAGAAAGCACAAGTCATCATTCATAATCAAATCTCAAGGCCTTGATACTCTGTTTTACATTGCCATGGGAGATTCTTCTCATTCAAAGAAAGAACAATGAACTATCTTTAAATTATTTTTCCTTGCAAGATGTTAACTTTAAAAAGTGCATTAAAACATACTTCCAGTTTTTTTTCAAAGTGACAAACCAAAGCTGAGCAGATGGCAAACACCCATACTTGATAGCTAGATATTGAAAGTGTAGTGTGTGTAAAACTAAACAGATAAACTTCTATTTTTACCTGATCTCTCTCTTCTTTTTCATGGTCTCTGGCATCTTCTGGATTGCTTTAATCCTTTCACTGCTGGGCATACTTGCAAGATTTCCAACTAACTTATCCTCTGCATAAAACCCATGAAAAATCCAAACGTTGGCATAATAATACAGTATCATATGCAAAAATCTGAAACGGGTATCACAACATTCCCCATTTTCAGTGCTACCAATATATGGCAAGTTCTGAGACCTAGTAATACTCCCCAGAATATCCTCAGGTCCATCAGTACTCTAATACAGGTGTAAGTAGTACAATACTGAATGTTAAAAAAATAAGTGTAACTTGTCTGATGCTTGTTTAATGTTAATACAAAGAGCTACAACAGAAAACAAAATACCGACAAACTCCAAGTTACATTCTTATGATGCTATATGTTGACTTGAAAGCTAAACTTTTGTTTTATTTATCCTACAATTTTAGTTGATGTCAGTACCCAAACTTAGCACTGGCTATGAAACAGACAGAACTGTATTACTTGACAATCAGGCTGCTTTTGCGTAGTTGGAATTTGATGCTAATTCCAGACACAGTGGCTGAAAACAATCCATTAGCTGGTCAAACAAATTCTAATAAAGCATTTAGCTTTTCTTTCTACAATTTAACACATATTCACATGGCACCGTACTTCATTTATCATGGGATTTTAGTGTGCTAGTAGAGTATAAAAGATTAATCACTAGCATTAACACAAACCCAGGCTGTTCCCATAACCACAGAAAGACTGTATGTGCAATTCTGGTGACAAACCAAGAATAGTACGAACCACACCATCCTTGTGCAAGATGCTATTTAATATTAACTACTTATCTAACCTCCTACCATTGCACACTGGATCTGTTTCAAGGCTAGAAGAAGTACTGAAGATCTCATCAGGTGGTCTTCTGTTGCATCTCTGAATAAAGCTGTCTAAATAACATGCACTGTTTAGTAAGCCCAGATACTCCCAACAAATTGACTTAAGAAATTCAAATTTCACTTTCATAAAAACAACTTAAAAGTATACTCCTCAATCTCACTACTTACATGCAAATATATACTCCCCCACTCACTTCTTTCCAGTTATGCTTGATGACCCTATGCAATTTTTCAGATACATGCTGGAAAAGAGGTTCTGAGCCCAGTCCTCAGATGTCATAGAGAACTGTGTCATCTAACCTGTTCATAAAAAGTACACAAGACTTTTTTCCTAGAAGGCAGGTCCTTTCTTCAAAAAGTCTTCTGCTGACTTCAGAGGGATTGTTTTAGAATCACACTCAATCATGCTGAATAATTGATATGTACCAGACTCCCATTTCCCTGGGGCCAAAATGCAACTGTTCTGTCAATCTTCTTTCATCCAATTATACAAACATGAGTGATTATATTCCTTAAATGCATCTGCCTTCCAGCTACAAAGCATATGAGTTTAGCCACAGATTTCCTTGCCTCACCTTCCCAGTAAGCTAATGGCCAGTCTGTGCAATGTTACATCACCTTTTTGAGCTCAATCCTCTGGTGCAGAAGACCCCAACTGACTGATGAGCCTGTTAATGAACATTGTACAGGCTCCTTCACCATATTTATTATTTAGATCTAATGGTTCTCTGACATTAGTGTCATTTCCACTTTGAGCCAACTTCCTTTGCAGCAGTTAAAAAGAATCCAAAAAAGAAAAACATCTGTGCCTCCTTGTGGAAAGTACTTCTTGAACCTTCAGCACCCAGACATTTATCCTCTAGTTGACTGTGTTGGAAATACATACTCCTACCATGTATTAAAACCATGCACAGTAGTTAATATTTGGGAATGTCCTATTTCTGTGGTCACTCAGGGAGTGAGGCATTCCCAGGTACCAATAAAATCATTGTTTTTTAATACAAACACGGGATTTTGCCAAATAAGATCTTAACTTAAAGACCATGTTCTTAAAGACGAAAACGAGAGGAAAAAAAAACAACCAACCAAACAAGAACCCTCACTTTCAGGACACAGAGAGATGGTTCCTTCAGTGCAACTAGGTAACAATTCAAGAACTCTTAATTATGTTCCAGAAGCAGCAGAAAGGAACCAAACTGATTGTAACAGGAAAAATTACACAATATGGGAAGAACAGTTCCTACACAGAACATGAACAATAAACTACTATGCTAGCCTAAAGCAGAACCCAGATCATGCCATTCCAGACCCCTGGTATTTTAGTTAATATAAATCTCTAATTACTATTATAGTCTAGAATTTACATGGAGGAAATATAGTGAAAAATTAACTAAAGACAGTCTCAAAAACGCATCTTATCCTCCCCTTATTTCTTCCTACAATGAGTCTCTTCAGATAACTGTGTAAATTTGTTTCATGTTGACCCACTTATAGGGCAATTAGGTCTAAATGGGTAAGCAATGTATCTTTTATTGCTCAAGAAACAAAAATCATGACCTTCAGAAAGATATTGAAAAGATCAGCTACAACGGTGTAGGATAGTAAAAGAGAATTCATGTCTTATGATTCCTTCTATTACAGGACGATCTTCATAGTTGAACCAGAAGGCTTATAAATATTTATTATTTTATGGAGGGCGAGACATGCAATATTCTGATGCACCACAATCTTTATGTCTTACCTTCTGATACATTGGAATTTCTGTAGGCATAGGGGCGATCCGGCAGGTGGAAGGTAGAAGGTAAGCTGTATGACAGTTCTATCTCAGGCTCAAAGGAAAGATTATCTGTTGAAGGCAATGAGAATTACACAGAAAGTTGTATATTGCTGTGGATCAGTTACCACACAGAATATCAGCCCTATTGACCAAAGACAGACCTACTGCAAACACAGCAATATATTCCATTAACAAGACTCGTTTACCTCACTGCGATGTACATCCTAGTACTCGATTTAGGCAGCCCATACAAGTTGGTATTTACCGATTTGTTAATACAACAGACAGTGCATGGATCTGTTCGCGTAACATCTGAACTACTTCTAGGAAAAAAGTAAAAAGCCCCACTGCCACTATGTACAAACATATAGAGTTGAGCTTTCCAGGGCTTGAGGACTCCCTCAGGACAGAATAAGTCATTATTTGTTCCAGTGTTTCTGTAAGGTGTTCATATGAGAAATTACATACCCATGGAACTTCTACATGGACTTCTTCTTAGGACATTAACCCTTTGTAAATCTTCTCTGTGTTCAGGGCCATGACTCATGGAGGCCATTGGTATGGCCAGAGGGTAAGGGTAATTCTGTCTTCTTTCATTGTCATCTCCGTAGGAACCGTGCAGTGAAGAATAATCAGTGGCTTGGTGGGAGAACAGATTCTTTTGAGAACTCCTCCTGTGTGAGCAACAAAAAGAAAAACCCTGAGTGCCACAAAAACTCTTACTAGAGATCCTTAATAAATTGTTACCTATTATCACCAAATTTGAGTACATTATAAAACAAACTCTGATACTGAGTGGTATTTTGTATTTAGAACTCCAACATCACAATTCTGACTTAGTCATCAATGGAATTAGAAAGACTAAAACTTTTCTCCACCTAAAGTTAGCTTGGACTCTAATTAAACAGGCATAACTGCTTGGAAAAAGAGGACATCCAAGGTTACACATTATGAAAATTACTGGAACTCAAAAACATCCATGACATTATGCCATAAATCCTAAAATACATTTAGCTGATATATTTATCTAACATGTAAAAAATAAACATGTAATTTCTCTTCAATGCTGCCTTCCTGATAACAGCTTTAAAAATCTGTGTCTGAATGCAAGCATAAAGGAGGGATTAGAAGAATTCTACGAATTAAAATCCGGGAAAAAAAGTTTTTCCTGCATATAGAGAATTTAATTTCTTATGGCACAGTCACAACAGCAAAATTAAATTAACTCACCTTCTATCAATTTCCAGTGTCTCTGAGAAGTGGTAGTCAGGATTTTCAAAGGCTTCATTGTAATGATAAGACATGACGAGCTCTTGGTTTGAGGGATGAAATCTTCCTTAGTTAGAAGGTTTTGTCACCCTGCTAACAAATAACATGAAACAATATAAATCACAGATATAAATCTAATTTAATGCTAGTTACCATCTGGAAGTAAAGGTCCACCAGAAGTTGCAGGTAAAATGGGAACTCTATACAGTAAGCTCTCTACCAAACTAAGGAGCTGGAGTGCCACATGATGTCTTCCCCAACACTGACAATGAAGCCAGGTTTTAAAAGCATAAGTTCTTTCCTCCTCATACAGGAAAAGCCAAATACACCAACTTTCTCCAAGTACTATGTTTCCACAACCAACGGAGAGGTGAAGTCTGCCCACTTCCTTATGAGCAGTGGCACCTCTAAACCTTAGTTGTGAACAATGGACCCACAGGACCACTGCTATGTACAGAGCTGACATTACTTAGAGACCTACTCTTAATGAGGAGTCTTCTAACGACTTAATGCCTCAATCCTGTAAATTGGTTTGGGTTTAGCTTTATTTCTCACAGAGCGCTCCATTTTAGTCTTAAGCAAACCAGACTTGGTCAGAGTTTAATGAACCTGTGAAAAGGGAACCTTATATTATAAAAGCAGAATCCTAATTAATTGCAAGGACTGCCTATTTAATCAAAAGTCATACTCAAAAAGGAAGCAATTTTTAGCATTTGTTCTTAAAGGCACCATGCCAAGTCTGATCAGCTGGCACATTATTTAACAACAGGGAAGGTAAAAAATAAATTATAAAGGACACATCCAGCAAAACCTATCAGGCCCTGCTTTTACTTCAGCTCCACTCTTAAGACAAGCAGAGCTGAATCTCATTTAATGGTACAGTCTCAACCAACTTTTCTGTCTGCAATGGTTTTTATTTGCAACTTCTACTGCAGTAAAGGAAGTATCACACGAAAAAAAGTATCTTCAAAATGGATAACTGTACAGCGTCTAGTTTCTGCAGGCTTATCAAAATCTCATTTTGCCAAAAGAAGCTCTTAGATTACTATTGTGACATTTACACACTTAAGGAACTTGGAAGACAGTCTAAAATCTTGCAGTGTGACACAGACTTGTAAAATGCTGCCCAGGTTTTGCACACTGTCTTGCAAAGAGCTTTGCATATAAGCACAGGTGGTTGATTGAATCCAAAGTCCTACATTTTAATCAGAACATTGTCTACGCTTTCATTATAGCATAATGAAGCATGCCATGAGGCCCACATCTTCAGCAAACATTCAGTAAGAAAAAGCACACAGGGCAATTTGAATACATGTTGCGTCACCCATCCCTTCTGTAAATAGTGGAATGTGATTACTGTCAACGAGAAACTATAAACACAGTCTCTCCTAGGTGAAACTTGTATTGTTTCAAGCAACAACTTCGCACCTACAAAAACAGTGAGATCCTCATGTATTCAGAAAAGTAACTAGTAGAGCCTACTCCCCTTATCTCCAAAGAAAGCTAATAAACACTCCAGAAATCTAGGATTTCTTACATAAAAGTCATTGGAAGTTTGTGACTCCTTAGAGGTAAGTTTTTCTTTCACAGGAACCACTTAGTTCTTGGTGATTTTTCAGGAACTAGATTATAATATACCTGAAGTTTTATACAAAGACTTCGGGAATTAGTACATTCTGTCCTTATACTCCATTAAAAAGCACGGAAACAATTCTTGAAAATTATAAACATGGTATTCTGCAGAGTTGATTGGAAAACTAGATTTCCCCCTGTAAAAGTGTTTCACATTTCAAACTGTAATGAAATGCTGAAGAGGAAAAGATTACTTTATCAGGGGAAGAAAATTCTCAGACAATTCTCTTTGAGGGGTGTGCAAAATTACATTTTTCTATTTTTCAACTGGTTTCCCAGTTGAACAGGAACCCATCTCACTTAGACTCAGCCATCCAGAAAGCTGGGAAGCCTGCCAGCATTGCAGCTGGAAAGCTGAGCACAGATCTAAACAGCTCATCAACTTGCCTGGTCTTCATTCAAACTGTAGATAGAATGTATATTTTGATGGAAATGTATGGGTTGTGTAGAATCCGCATTGCCCAGAAGCAAGCTGGTAGGCAGCCTCAAGTGCAACCAACCAGACGAAACAGATCAGCCTGACTGAAAAATACAGCCATCACTTCTTTCTCTTACTCATTTTAAAGACCTCTAGACATATCCATAAAGGCTTGCTAAGACACTCAAATACACCCAAGACAGACTGTTTATTGGTTCCATCATTATCCACTTTATCTCCTTTGAGTCTTAAGATGCGCTTTATGCCAGGATTTCTGTGAAAATTCACAAGGACATTTACATTCTAACACTGAACCCAGCGTCTGAGGCCACTTTGGTTTTGCTCCACTCCCAAAGTTTTAAGGATTTTAAATAAAGTCCCCATGCACACTGAGGCAAATTCAAGTCTTTGCATTTGTTCCTGAAAAAGCTAGAGATTTTCCTCTTACTACCTGAGAAGACCAGAACCCAAACATTGATGCGTTCAGAGTGAGCAAGAATGTGAACATGGATAACCCAAATGTTTCTTGACTGAAGCTGTAGTCATTCAAGGATTACTGTGCTACCCAGTACATAAATGCTGTGGGGATGGAGGTGTGTATGAGCATACATGCTCAGGCTGTACAGGTGGTATGCCAAGGGTGTACACATAGCATGCCAAGGGTGTATGCAGATAGCACACCAATCCACCCACTTCCTCCCTCCCAAACCCAAAGATTGTGAGAAGCTCTTCTTATCAAGTCAGATGTCTACATCATAAGTTTGGTTTGGGGTTTGATGGACTGGCAGTCTACAAATTTCTGACCAGTCGTAGTTCACTGGAAAGAACCCAAAGCAGGTAACGCTAAAGCTAAACCATCTCTTTCTTCTTTTTGACCAATGATGGGACGCAGTAGACCATAGCTCTAGGAAAAGATATGACATTTAGACTTAGCTTTCCCTTTAAAGAGTTGCTTTCCAGAAGGAAAAAAAATAGCTGGAGAACAGAGGTCATTTGTGAAAGATAGAAAGCAGGAGCTTGACAAATCTTCCCTTTGCAAAGTGGTGTCCATTTGTTGGATGACATTTTGGATTTCAGCAAGCAACTAGACAAATCTTGTGTTTTCCCTCCGGAGATCAGAACTGTTTAAGATCAGTGGGCTTAATAATCATTAATATGTAAGTAAGTTACAGAATAGGTGGAGAGTGGGTGCTTTCTGCTTAAATCATTCAACACACACTGTAATGATATAGAATAGGAAGCTCCAAGCAGTGCAGACTCATGTTTCTGGATCATTTCCCAGAAATATAACTGCTTTCACATCACACACCAGCAGCCTTGACAAAGTATTCCAGGTAAGTTTCATCCATTCCCATACAGGCAATTATCTGCTATAGACACTAATCCCCATTTAGAACACAAATCAAACATGAATGTCTTGCTAATAATAACACTTTGTCCTGGTATCAAGTTTCAGGAAAGCCACTTAGACCTTCAAGTCCTTTACCTGGAATCCCTCAGTAAAAAGGATTACATAAAGTAAATTCTACACACAAGTCTCAAAGAGGAATGGAAATAGTAAGTTCCAGAACTACATCATAGTTGACAACAGTGAACGAAGAGACTAGAACTCACAGAACTGCTTCAGAAGGTTGAATATGCTCTATTTCCATGAGGATCTCCCAGTTTTTTAGGGTATAACTTGTCAGGGCTTGCTTCACTGTCACTCAAGTTATTTTCATTCATGAAAACCCTGTCCTGTTTAACACATTCTACACAGCTTCATACTGAAAAAGAATCAGATTGATTGCTGGAAGCCAAAAGTGAGTGTGAGACACAGACCAGATTTAAAACTGGATTACATGCTGCTTCAGCAACTAGGTTCCAGTACTGACCACTACTCTTCCACTATCTCAATCCCACCAGTTTCAACACTTCTGCAACAAACTAGGAAAGCCTCTCGGAAAATCTAAAGAGCCTGTGAATTGACACTAATGAAACACTACACTCAATAAAACCTGATCTTTAATTGACATATTAGCTATGAAACAAGCGTGACTCATACACAGAGGTGAAAGTCACTTACCTTTTATGCATATTGCCAAAGTACTCAGTCTGCACTGACAAACACCACCTCTTACTGGCCTTCCATTGTGTTTTTATCTATCAGCAGGGTCCATTACAGGAGCCAACGTCAACTCTGTTATTTTAGACCTTTGATCAATTTCAGCAATGTAAATTGTGCCTCTGCTACAAAAGATCTTCCCAGTGCAAGCGATGTGGTAGCACTAAAGACTTACCTGCTTACTACTGCATAGGCAAGGGGCAGACAACCAAACTAGGAATGGAAAGGAAAGTGACAGCCTCCCCATTACAGTTGCAATGCTGCTGTCTCTCCCAACAACTTGTTGGATCTCAAGCTCACAAAGGAAGGTACTTCCTAGTCCTATAGTGCAAGGCTACCTACCAGAATTCAGATCCCATCCTCCCTGTCCCCCAGCCCATCTTGGTGAGAGTGGGGTGCAGAGAGTAGCCAGGCAGGCTGGCAGAAGCAGGTGGAATAGTGTCTGTCTGATGCAGGGAACATCCTACTGCTGAACTATCCCTGTCCTCAGCTGGCTCTTCCCATTGCCTCCAGCTACCTCAGCATCATGAGCTCTATTCCTTATTTGCTCTTTATCCATTTTTTGCACCTTCTCTCTTGTTTACCTTGTCTTTTCCATTTAACATTCCTCTTGCAATTTCTTCCTACTCCCCCTTCCCCCCAAATATAGTAAGACTCTAATATTTTCATCCTGTTCACTTTGTTTGCAAGTTAAATTCCTTCCATCACCTGTGACTGCTTAGATAAGCCATTTGGAGTACTACCGACTACTTTGTGTTTGCAGTGTCTCAAGCAGAATTCTACTTCTTCACCAAAGTTCAGACACCTTTATTATAAACATGCTCCTGAAACATTCAAAAAATCATTACAACATATAGTTAAATTTTAGTGTCCCATAAACTGTTGCAAAGGTGTGTCACACTCTTCAATGTTTTTGCTTAATGGCAGCAGATAAAAGTTCAGATACTATATTAATTTTGTGAAATTTATAGTACTCTCCCTAATCTACCATACAAATCTCTGCTTCTCCACCCAAAAAGGCCCTAAGGAATCACAATTCTTGTGGAATGATGTACACATCACAGTGATTTTGCATTATCTAATCCTTTCCCCAGAGACCCCTTTGAGAGCAAGTCTCTCTTCCTTTGCTGTATTGCTTTTTATTTTCTTAACTCTGACCACAAGTTGCAAACTTAATCCATTGGGAGAACTATGAGCATTGGGTAAAGAGGAACAATCAACTATATATAACCACTAAAATTATAAATAGGGAACTGAAGAGTAAGAACAGTATACCTGGCAGAGGGCAGAAAGATTAACAAGAATAAGAAACCTTGACCAGAACTCTGCATTATCTCTCTAACACTTGAAAGACATTACCTAGCTCATAGTCGCATTATTACAGGGAAAAAAAGGCTGAGGAGAGAATCACTTCCTATCAGTGCAAGTCAGTCTTGTGACTAAATTTCCAAACTGCAGACTATTCTGTTCTTTGTGTATACTAGGACTAAACCTTGCTTTGCAAAACACATTTTTAAAGTCTGTTGATTAACCAACATTACCAGTTACTTGTATGTGAAGGAAATGTCTGGTTACAAAAAAAAAAAAAAAAAAAAAAAAAAAAAAAAGCACTTTTTGAGTACCTGTTTGGAATTAGTTTTCTGCTTTCCATGGAAAGGCAGCCTACCACACCAGGTCTATTAGAGGCACAAGATATTGTTTACTATAACAGTTCTAACATTTTGCCTTAAAAGAAAGCTTTGTTTATTCTGAACTTGCAATGGATACCTATCTAGTTTAAATGCAACCTCCAAATTACACTTTAATGAGCAGTATCACTTACAGGAGTCTCATTCACAAGTTCAACTGGAAAAGCTTATGAGAAACTACACATATGGTCATTTTATACAACTGGCTTGCTGCTGAACTGAAAAAGAGGCATTGTTCTGTTTGCAATTTCTAGCTTAACTTCCTGTTAGGATATTGTCATGTCATTACTAGCTGCACAAGCAGCATTTAAGATGACCCTCAGGGAAAACAATAGCTATTCAAAATATTCTAGCAAACCAACTAAGAAGCTAGAAAATGGTTGAGAACCAGTCAGAAGGAAAGAGAACCAGTTGCGTCACACGTTTCTCCTACTCTTCAAAATTCTTAGATGCAGTTTTCAAATTGTTGGACAAAAAATTCCACACAAACCAAATACTTTTTTTTTTTTTTTTCAGAAAAAATGCAGCTACATTAAAACGCCATGTAATGTTAGTACATTAGACTTCTATTCTACACTGAACATACAGAAGCTATGGACTATACAAGTCACAGAGGCTTTTTCACAAAAAATGTGAAAGGAGACACTGCTGTAGAGTGCTAGTTCATGTTATATCAGCCCATACAGCCATACCACACTACCTCACCACTTTACTACTTCCATAGCAAGAATAAAAATCCTCCTAATGAGCTTAGCTGGGTGGGTGGGTGCGTGTGTGTGTAAAGGGAAGGGTATAGAACAAATAAAAAACCCTAAACCAAGAAACTGAAATCCATTGCTTTGGGTGGAGTATTGACATATCAGCCCGGAACAGCTGCCATTTCAACGACACTGCTCAGCTCAGGCAGCCCACTGCTCTCCTTATCCTATGCCAGGGCTGCGTCGCATAGGCAGGGACTGACACGACACCCACACTTGAAGCATCACAACTTGAACTAGGCTCTAGAGCTACCGACTGGCTGCTTCTGCTACACAGAGCAGGATCAGGCTGCCGTCAGTCCCAGGACTGGCAGAGGAGACCATAGTGACACGAGAGTGGAAGCAGAAGTTAGCACAGCTCCCATGCAGTACCACAGAGTGCTTGCAGGTTTGCTTAACTAACAGGGACAGAGATTCATCAATAAAATCTTGTAAATGTAAAGATTTCACTTTTAGATGTATATTTAATCTTCTGCATAGAAATGTTTCAACTTTTGTAGGTTAGGGCATAAAGAGGAAAAAAAAAAAGTAATGCTGAGAGTGAAGTAAAAGAGAGAGTAGTATTTAAATAGTAAGCCTGTGTGTTTTGAAGGAGTGACAGAATGATTAATCACAACGAACATGAATACTTAAACCTGAGATTTTTCCCACCTATTTAATACAAAAATACTTCTGGCTTCCCATTACCTGTGGTAACATACAAAAGTCACAACCTGATACTTGGAAAATGCAGTGACACGCTCATTCACTAGTTAGCAGACTCCAATACACAACCTACACCAAAGCAAAAGCAGATGTCACGCTGAAGCTACCGATCCCAGCAGGGCGGCTGCAACACTTCCCAGGCTGAAGTGTGGCACACTGGCTAAATACATCAGGGAAGGATGTGGCTGTTAATTCCCCATGGAACCAATCCCTCCAGCTGACAACAGCAGAAGCTCCTATGTGAGTAACGGGGCGATAAAGCTGTGAGGTGCCATGCAGCAGGGCTAACGCCAAGCTCAAGGCACCGCTCTGTGTGGTTATTTACCTCTCAGAGAGCAGACACCAAGCACACCCCCGATGGACCACATGCACGCAGTCCGGCCCTAACAGTCGTCACTAACCGCGAGCATTACTAAGCTGCAGCCGCCCGCCAGGCAGTTCGGGTGACTCCCCCAGGCCAGCTGCACGCCAACACCACCTTCCAACCCCACATCGTCCGAGAGCTGGTGCAGACCCTGCTCGGAGCCCGGCGCGCTCCAGCCCCCGGCGACCCCGACCCTACCCACCGCTGCCGAAATGGAAGAGCCGCAGCGGCGAGGGCGCGGGGGCAGCCCCGGATTCCGCCGCCGCCTGGCCCCGGTCCCTTACCTGCCTGCCCGCCGGGAGAGGGCTGCCCGGCCCCGGCTCGCCGGGTGCCTCGGCGTCCGCCCGGGAACCGGCACCCCGCCCCGGCGGTGGAGGCTCCTCCCGGTGCGCCGAGGCCGCCTCCAGCCCCGATGGGGGGTGCCGCCGCGGCCGCCCGCTTCGCTTTGCTTTGCTTCCCCCTGAACGGGCTGTGCACTCACTGCGCCCCCCGGAACGGGGGAGCTTAAGCTCCTGCTGCTCAGAGAGGGAAAGGAAAACAACAAAAAGTCCTCCTCGTGTTACACGCTATAGAACACGTTGCTCCGTTGCAGTTTCATCTGCAAGACAGTCTCCGACCCTCCATGAGTTTAAACATGCTTTGCTTTTGGCATGGATCGCCACAACACCGTAACAAAAGGACAGACAGAAATGGTTTTCAGACACAGTATGTTACCTTTATCCCTGGATTAATCATTTGTAGAGCAAAGAACAATCTTGACCTCACACATTTTTACCTGTATTATAGGAAGGCTCATCTAGGGGTGAAAAAAAAAAATAGTTCATGCTAATACAGGCAGTAATTAGCAGCTGCTGGATGGCGAATTCAATACCAGCCTTGTCTTCCTGTATTCCGTAGGGACCAGAAGGAACTACTTCTCATTTAGTGTGACACTGAGAGACTGATTTTTCTTGTCTTCCTCCTCTCACTACCTTTTTCATTTCAAGCAGACACGGGCAAAGGTATGGGCTGGCCAAAGCTCCAGCTGAGCACCAGCGGGGTGCAATGCAGAGAAGCCAATGAAGCACTGGGGTGGTGCCTCTTGTGGAAATTTCTGTCCCAAAGCAGCTCAGCTGAGATGCCTCTGTTACTTTAACTACTCTATAGCAGCTGGACTGAGGGATACCCCAGCACATAACAGTCACTGCCAGGCTGGTGCCCAGTGCCCTTCCCAAAGGCTAATGCTGTCATCTGAACAGAGAAGCATCCTCAAACACAATGGTGGGACCCAACAGCCACCACCTGGACAGGTACTGGTGAAAACAGAAACAAGGTAAGGACAAGACTGACTCTGCTGTCCCAGACCTGTGGTCTGCCCATTACTTTTTTCCCTTTTTACTGATACTGTACAGAATTATAGAACCCCAGCCACTTTTGCGTTAAATACGTTTTGTTACACCATTTTGGCATATTTTATCTCCCCAGAAACACACACATTTTAACAGTATCTATTCCTAAGTAACTTCTCTGATCAGAAAGATTAAACACCAAATGAATTAAAAACACCCCTGTCAACCTTTGGCTTGAAGGTACTCTCCCTAGCCAGTGTGGAACTAGTAACAAATCAATCCACGCTGTGTTCAAAAGCTGTGCTGTTGTAATGGCTGAGGATCACTTTTACCAAATGACTAGTGCTTTTCCAGCTCCTAAACTGGGTAAAACATGTCTATCCTGTACCAGACGCGTTCAACATGCATTTAAGTGAAGTTTCCTAATGCTACTTGAAGATTATGTTTTGCCCAAAGCAACATTCCTGGCATGACTGCAGAGGACTTGTCTGCAGATCTCTTGTACTGATCCAGGAGCTGCCTGCACACTGCATATGCCACAGGTCAAAGCACAGGGGTAGTCAAACGCAAGATAACCCAGAATCAAAACAATCACTCAAAACCTCCCTGAATGTTTAGAAGCGTTTTGGAGCTGTGGCATGGCGAAGAGGAACCATACAAAATAAAAAAGTGTTCTGGAAATGCATGGTGTTACTAAATGCAACAGATCTCCAGCATCACGGGAACCAGTATATGGCACTGGCTTCCATGCTCAGCACAGACTGCAAACTGCTGCTTTTGCCAATATGGTACCTTGGACAAAAAATGCACGAGAGGAACCTACCGCACTCCTTGAATGTGACTGTCAGGCTCTGGCAGAACCATCCATTTTCTCCTCCTCAGCATGCCTGTCTTCCTGTTTTCCCACTTGGGATTGCTGTGATCCATAAAATTCATTGAAACGTTTCCAAGTGTCTCGAAAGCTTTCCCAACTGAGAAAGAAAAAAAAAAAAAAAAAAAAAAAAAAATTGAAAATGTTCTCACAGAATTCCTGTGGAAGTCAATCTTGTTTCAATTCCTCCAATCTTTATTTAAATTTGTTCTCACGGGGTCATTAACCCAATACTTTTCCAGTACATGGAGTTTCAGAGTCTAATTAATCAGCAAGTGTATTACCTTTCTTCTTTGTATTCTTAGTGGTAAGAAAAGGAACATAAATAAAAAGCAAAACCGACACCCCAGATGATACCCCCTAGAGAAGTCTTACACCATAAATATTCATATTTAAGGCAGAACTGGCCCTGCTCTATGTTCACAGCCAAACACAAAGATGGCCCATGCTTGGTTGGCTTTGAGGGACCAATAAAAGTTGGTACTTCGGCTCTGGTGGTGCAATACACATTCCTATCTGGCATATGAATCACACGCTTAGCATGAACATTGAACAATACTAAATGATTTTTCAGGAACGCTACCGAGGGGTTTCAACTTCCATCTCCTGAATTTTCAGGAATGATCAGCTAGAAGTTGTTTAAATGAAGCCCATTAAATGTGACACTCAACCAAGGAAACAAAATCACCTGTGTAAGTGGGCTTCACTGAGGTCTCCAGCTCTGTTACAAACAGGCCGATCCTGCATGCTCTCAAGCTGAGGTACAGCCCAGCCTCTCAGAAGGGCAGCAGACAGTCATGCAGCATCAGCCTTTGCTATACAAAAAATCCCACCTGGGAAAAATCATGCTGGAGTGCAATAAGGAACTTCCTGAGCTTTAATTCCATGTGTCTGTACTTCACAATTCCCTTAAGATATCCTTCTCCTCTGCCAGTAATACATCAACTTACTGATCATAAACACGTACCTCTAAATTACTTAGAGAACTTACATTTGTTTCAATAACATTTTATGGTTTGATTATGAAAACTGATTATCCACATAGATTCTTATTAACAATAAAGCAATTTGAAAATCACGTACCTGAGATGCTAACACACAGCTGAGAGAAGAAATATACTCATTTATGTCTGATTCAGCATTCTGAAACCTAGTGATGACTTATTTTTAAAAGTACTGCAGCAAGTAGATGAGGAACATTCAGAAAAATCTGTTTAGCGATTTAACTACCGGTAGAACAAAGTAAAAAAATGCTATAAATGCTTCCCCCCCCCCCCCCCGCCATGTAATACTGTTGAAACTACTGGAGATTTCATTTTCCATTTCAGCACGCATGCTGATATTTTCACACTAAAGGCAAGAATTATTCCAAGAAGTGTGTCTCAGGGGTGTTTACTACAACTTAGCACAAAAAACACCCTGTCAGATGGAAAAAAAGAGATCCACGCAACGTTTCATTTCATACTGTTTTCACATTCAAGGGTAAAGCTGTGTTGTTTCCACTGCAGCCAATGTCACTGGATCCACTCACTCAGAAAAAGGTAGGAAGTTTGGGCCTGCAACCTAACGGGAGTTGACCAAATATCAGAGTTTGTAGGAAGTTTTTATAGCACCCAACACCAGCATGGACATTTAATAGTAACTGAAGACACCGAAACAAAGCCTGTTTCTAAGCCAAACGTCTGTGAGAAACGCCCAGCAGTCCAAGCACCCCACCGCCCTGCACATGGGGTGCTTGGGCCTTGCCTCATGCAAACCGAGAGGGTGGTCTGCTCGTAGCATTTACACCCTGCTGCCTTTCTTCACGGTATTTTTAAAGAAAGCCCAGGACAAGAAGAACAGGAAGGCTCTGATATCCCCAAACATGAACCTCTTATTTTAAATCTACGAGTCCAAGGATACAAAGCGATGCCATGGAGGAAGGGGATCCAGGACTAAGATACGGTGCAGTAGGGAGCGCCCCAGCCCCTCCCCGCGAGGCGCCGCACGCCGCGGCCCCCAGAAGCCCGCGCCGAGGCGGGGCCAGCCGTGCCCCCCCGGGGGAGGGGCCGACACCCCGCCGCCGGACCCGCCTGAGGGGCGAGCGCGGCCCCGGCCGCTGCGCCGCCCGCCGGCTGAGGTGGAGGGCGACTGCCGGCGAGGCGCCCCGGGAAGGCGGCCCCAGCGGGGAGCCCAGCCCCAGCCCCAGCCCCGCCGGCGGCCGCGGCTCCCCGCCGGCAGCCGCCCCACAGCTCCGCCGGCTCCGTAACGCCCGGAAATGGCAGCGCCGACGGGGGAGCGCCGCTTCCCCCGCGCAGACATGAGCGGGCTCGGGGCGGCCGCGGAGCCGCCGGGCAGCAGCGGTAAGGGCGCGGGGGAGGCGGGTACCGATCACCGAGCGCTGCAGGGAGGGAGCACCCACCGGCGGGCGCCTTTGGCAGGTGGCGGCGGGAGGGAGGGACGGAGGGAAGGGAGCGGTGCTGCGCCCGCCTCACCTCCCTCAGCGCGGCGGGGTCCCGGGGGAGCGGCCGTGGGGGCTGCCGGCCGGCTGCCATGTTGTGACGAACCCCACTCCACAGCCCCTGTGCTTCCTCCCTCTCGCAGAGGTCTTTCTCCCCGAGGAGACGCGCGGCGCCACACCTGTGAGCTTCCTGCAGGAGCTGCCCAGCTACCAGTCGGCGCTGAGGTGCCGCGGGGCCGCCGGGGGCACCCAGGAGCGGCGGGCGGCTGCGCGGGGCTCCGCGGGGCTCCGCGCTGCACAGGCCCTGGGGCTGGAGCAAGAGGGAGGCGAACTGACTACTCGCCCTATAAGAGAACACCCCGTGTGTATCGCGGAGAAGAGGAGATTAAGGTTAATCTTAACACGTTTTGTTTTTTTTTTTTTTATTTTTAATTTTTTTTTGTTTAATTACCTTTTCCTAAACACAACACAGGTGAGATGGAAGGCTGAAGCAGAATTGGGCTCATTGGTATCTGTTTCATCCTCTAGCATGTTGGCAAGAAGTTGCCCAGGTACTCATGCCAAAACGTGGCAGGCTCCCAGTGGCACCTCCAGCTGCGGGAATGTGGCCGGGTGCTCCTGGCTGTCATGAGGGAGTAGCTAACCGGGGGGGGGGGGAGGAATAGGTTGAATTGGAAGAAATGAGTCAAACCTGGGAATTACATGCAGCAGTTAAACACGTTTCTCACTGGCTTCCTTTTTTTTTTTTTTTTTTTTTTTTTTTTTTTTTTTCGCCTCGGGGTGTTGTGCTGTTAAAGTTCACTGTGGGTTATCAGTTACCAGCAGCCGCTTTCTGCTATGCAAGTGTTGTTTGAGGCTTCTCAGCAGTTCTTCCAAAACACATTGTACTCTCTCTGGTGTGGCTCAATACACGTGGAAAGAAGCTTTCTAGGACTATTTTTTTTTATTATTCTATATTCCTTTTAAAATTGCTCTTTGCTGTGAGCTGTAAGCAGTTCCTGCCCCTCTTGTGGTAACCCCCAGCAGGGAGAGGATTGCAAAGAGCATGCTTTGCCCTGCCTGTATTTCTATTTGTTGTCTCGGGTTTTACCGCTATGCTGAAAGCTCCTTTGAGGAGATAGGATACAGTATGTGTTTTTACATTGTCAGGGAACGGCTGCAACTTTAAATCAGGTACCTTGTAGTTGTGGTTATGAACCAGGAGAGAGGTGAAAGTACATTTAATGTCTGGTGCTCCACAGAGGGCAAGAGTTACTCGTTTGCAAGAGCAGTGGGAAACGGATTACAGCCTGACCTTGGCGTTGTGTTTAACCCTGCATCCTTTATACAAGGAACAGGTCATGGTTAAGGAAGGTGCTCAATACACAGAATTTTTATTTCAAGTTGGGTATCTTAAAGCTCAGTTCTTCAAGAAAAAGGAACTGCAGTCCTTTGGCCACAGTGCGTGTTAGGAACGGAGTTGGGTTGTCCCACACTTGTTTACACATTTTCATGCTGAGATTCTGGTGGGGCTTCTTGGCACTTGTACAGATCAGTAATTTGTATGTATTGTGCAGCAGCTGCCAACACAAAATGCTTGATACAAATGTCCTGAAAGCTGAACATTCAACTTCTGTAACACAGATGAATATGCAGCCCACGCCTCTATTTAAAATGCAGACCAAACACGGGCCAGATAGTTCTCCAAAGTGTCTGTTTAAAACACTACATGCTGCAGCCTGTAGTTCCCACAAAATGAAATCTTTTGAGAGTATCTGTATTTTCACTTAAAGATGAGGTCATCTGCTGCCTGTTTAATTGTTGCTTATAGAGTGTAATTCGGCTTCCTGCTGAAATGCTAATTCTACTTTCAGCTGAGAAGGTGTGGAAGCTTTGTCAACATACAGCATACATGGCAGTGTGGCATGGCATGGCAGTGAGTCACTTAGGCACTTAAATAGAGTTTTGTACAAAGTCTTGTAAAATTGAAACCTTTAGCTTCTACTCTAGCATGGTATTCTCATGGCTACTTGACTGCTGCCCTTCTTCAGTGACATCGGAGGCTGGAACAGGGTTTGCAGCATACAAGTCAACCTTCAAGCTATGTTTCTGGGAAGTTTTGTCTGTTTTTAAGGTTTCTTAAAAAATGAAATGCAAACTCTGAGTCACTCAGAATTCACCTTGATTTTGTCACTGACCATGCAGCAATTTTAAAAATGCAAATGTATGAATATAGTATGAAAATCTATAAGTGAGACGTGATTAAAAATTCTAGACAGTTTGTGGCACATCCTTGATGTTTGTTTGCAGCTTATTAGAACAGTACACCCCCACACATGTTGACAAATTAATTGAGTTGGCACTTTCCAGAGATTTTTTCAAAATGGTATAAAAACTGATATATTAAAATGATTCATTTTAATAACATTTGTTTTCTGTTATATACTGGAATGTGACACAAAAGTTATAAAATCCAAATGAAATATTTAAGCCTCTTTAGCGCACTCTATATGGTTTTTGCTTTTTTTTCCCCCAACATCTTCTGACATTTCATTCTGATCTCGAGATCTGTGAATTTTCTACAAAATAATAATTTTCTGTTTCGAACATCTGCATTTATAACATTAAAAGAGGAAAGCAAAATATTTTAGAGAAATTTTTGAAGAGCCTCTTGGTGAAGATGCTCTGGTCAGAAGTTTTTAGGAAAGAATCTTCTCTTCCTTTTCTGGCTATTTGTAAATATGAAATCATTAATGGCAACTGCCCTGAGATCCCACTGGGGAGTTCAGCTGTCTATTTTTTCTGTGGTGTACTACTGTCAATTGCATATTTCTTTATCTCCAAGAGAGGCAAGTGTTTTCTGTGAGAGGACTTGCTTTCTGTGAATTAACTTGATGTCGCAGTTATCAGGAGAAACAGATGGGGACAGCTAGTCTGTGTTACTCCAACTTTGGCACCGTGCTATCCCTCTGAAGACTGCGAGCATGCTGAGTTGTGCTAGGCCCTGTAACATGTAGTGAAAAAGTATTTCTTGTCCTCAGTAACTGTATTTCTTGATTCTTAGGGACTGTCAGCAGGCTGATATAACATATTTATCTGGATGGAAGCAGTGGAGAAGAGCTAGCAGAAAATCATTGAAAAAAGTCCTCAATGAAGTCAAGGACTTGTTATCTTATCTGGAGCTTTGGCGACATGATATTCACAGCATAGAAGGTATTTACTGTCTTCTGTAAACTTCTCCTCTTTCAAGTTGCTTCTGTTATGGGTAGTTCTATGTGTGTGAGCATAGTTTCAGATATAACTGTGTACGTTTAAGAAGTTTCCTGCTTCCTTTATTATTGCTGATTTAAAATCCGTGATGGGTTAGAAGGAACTATACTGGAGAAAATTATTAAACAGTCACATTTCCATTTTAGTTACATTGCTGAAAGCCTGCAGTAGTTAAAACTAGCTTTAGTAATGTTTTATCAGTTAACTCAGTGTAACTGAAATGATAATCTCATTCTATGTTTTCAATAATTTTATCATCTTAATTATTGGCACATGTTTCTTCTATTCCCAGGGAAATTTGGTACTGGCATCCAGTCCTACTTCTCCTTCCTGCGTTTTCTGGTTCTGCTGAATTTTCTAATTTTTATCCTGATGTTCAGTTTTGTTACCCTTCCCAGCATCATTTCTAAATATGGAATGTTCAACAGTAGCTTTGCTAAAATTCCTCCACAGAACATAGGTAAACATTTTCTCTGTGTACTGCTGTTGTTTGTAAGATTTTCCCTTTCAGCTTCTCCTCCACCTCCCAGGACAAAGAAATGCTTTTTTTATAAGAACTTGCCATGCTTGAATTAACTTGATCTTGCAGTTCAATGGGTATTACCATTCGAGTGACTTTTCCTGCCTTTCTTTTGACAGAGCCTCACTGCACAGTTTATATACCTAGTGGTAATAAGGGACTTGTTTACTTCTATACTTACCTCAAAGATTTGCTCAGTGGCACTGTAAGTGATTATATTTTTTTTTAATTAAGTTTCTGTGTCTTGCACAACATGTAAAATGTGAAAAAATTTTACTTGAGGAATGAAACTTTGATAATTTTGAAAAATTATAAGGCATATGGATCACCGGGGTAAAATTAGCCTTTATTATCTGTGAGAAGATGAGTTTTCAAACTTGGCTACTGAGTGTCCACAAGGCCTTGTTGGCCACGTGCTGCAGCCTGCGCCTCTTTGCCCCAGCTGCTGAACGTTACGTACTCTGGAGCACACTGCTTATTGTGCTGTCTGTGTAGGGTCTCGGTGTCCTTGTCATAGGGCTCTTTGATTGGAGAGGGGAGGGGTTTTAAGCATGTAGTGTCTGCATTACAGTTTGGTAGAGACAATGGCAGTATTTAGAAGCTACAGACTGTTGTAGCTTGCTGGGGGCCCCATAGTAATTTTAAATTTAAAAAATGATTGCTTAATACCAGGTTGGATTTAACTGGGCTGTTTCTACTACTGTTACGAATTCTATTTAAACTTTATGTTTTCACAGGGGTTCCTTGAAGTGACAAGTTTGTTTTATGGCTATTACACAATAGATGCTGTATGGCTCGGTGTCTTGAAGTACGACTTGTCACTAGCATATCTGCTGTCTACATTCGCCTACCTTGCATTAAGTCTCCTCTGGATAATAACAAGGTAAAGATGTTGGTATAGTTTACTTACTGCTACCTGTTGCACAGTTTACATTGCATTCTTGCTTTTAGGGAACATGCTGCATTCTAGAACAGTGCCACAGTAGCTTTTGTCTGTGTTTGGGAAACTGAGCCAGCAAAATAAAATAAAAATAAATAAATTTGAAGTATTAGTTTTCCATATGTATGCATACATATAAAAAAAAGATCTTCAACTATACAGTAGTTGCTGGAGGATTTTCTTTTGGGTTTTTTGGTTGATTTTTTTTTATCACCTCAGTTTCCTAAGACAGCTCTTGCAGAATCAGAGAAGCCCTGGCTGAGGTGAGAAGGTATGACTGTGGGCTGAGTGCAGAGGGAAGTAATCTGTATCAGTCATGGCTTCAGCTGATTTTGGTTGCTGCAGAACCTCACACTGAAAGCTTCCCGGAGACTTGCTGATATAAAGAAAATGTGACTGCTCGTAGCAGGGAGTCATTTAGTCTTTGATAAGCCAGTTTGCTCGAGGTGTGGTTTTTTGTTTTGTTTTCTGTGGATAAAGTAATGTCTTTTCATGAATGAAGTAAAGTTGCATTTTTCTCTAGGTCTGGAAAAGGATTTAGGCAGAACTTGGTGCATGGCAGTGATCAATTTCAGAGTTACTGTAATAAAGTCTTTGCAGGCTGGGACTTCGGCATTACAGATCCAAATGCAGCACAGCTAAAACATCGCAGCTTGCAGTATGAGCTCCAGGTGAGTAACTTCCATTTTTCTGTGGTTACGGTTTCATATAGTTTAGATGGCTAAAAGAGAGAGGTGTATAATTCTGCAGATAATGGAATAAGGATAAGGACTGAAGTAGTTTATATTAGCGGCACAGCAACCCACATCCTATTGCATGATTTCTAGGTAGCTAGGGTTGTGGTGCAACGTGAGAAGGATTGGTATGGAGGTTGACAGCCCTACCCCCATCCACTGGGGACTGAAGCCAACCTGTTAGCTGCTTGTCTTATCTGCCTCTTCCTCACACTCCAGTCCTGCTTCCTGTGTTGGTCTCAGCATATTCCAACAGGAAAAGCTATCCCAGCTGTGGGCGAAACCCTCATACTGTTGGGAATTAGTTTGAGTGTACTGGGTTATAAGTCAGCAATGTGGTAGGCAGTAGTTTGGGGAGGAATAAAATTCAGATTGTATTCTTCAGACAATTTGAGAGCATTGTTGCAGTAAGATACTGAAAGCTTTTCACTAGGTGTCTTGGAAACTCATGCACATAGAAAATGCTGATGCAGCTAGTAGATTTCCCAAATCATAAAGTTCTCTGAAAAGAGAGTCTGAAAGGCTTTTTTGGTGAAACTAGTACCTTCTTTTTGCTTTCTGTACGCTGGAAGCAGAGATCTGTGAAGTGAAAATTGCCTTTGAAAAGATACTTCCACTTCAAACCACAAAGCAGTAATTACAGATTTCACAAATTACAATGAGTTGCTTTCTGCTCTAGTAAAGTTCAGTCATCTTTTTTCATCATATAACCAGAGTCTCCTTTGCTTACCTTTTGCCTCTAGAACTCACACCTTAGAAAAACTTGCCCCTAAATATTACTGTTTCATGCAAATAAATCCGCAGAAAATAACTGGCTATTCTGTGAGTTTTCTCTGGTTAAATTGCCTTCACAGACGATACTGTATTTTCACATCAGCTAAAGTGTAACATACCAAGTTAATGTGTCAAGCTGCTCAAGACTGTACTTTCTTTCTGTGCCATCCCCTAATTTTCCTTTACAAAGAGTAGAAGGGAATTCCAGCCGTAGTGGTGAGGACTGGTTACTTACCTGCAGAAGTAAGGAGATGAGTGGGCTGATTTACCCATTTTAGAGTTTAGTACCAAGCTATCTGAGATTAGGCTCTCATGATAAACAGGCAACTTGTCTTTCTGTCCTCAAGGAGATGCGTTGCTGATATAGTAGAGATAAAAGGATTATGAGACACTTGTCTTTGGCTACAGGGCCCTCAGCCAGAGGAGACTGAGTACACAGGGGCTTCCACTCCTGGATGGGCCTGTTCGTGTCAATGAAAAGGCACTCTCAGTTCAGTGTGCTTGAGCAGGTGGTAGAGTGACCCTCCTAGAGCTGACTATGGATTTGCATATCTGTTGTGGTTTAAACCGAGTCGACAGCCAAACCCCATACAGCCTCTTGCTCACCCTCTCCCACCCTGGGGAGTGGGGGAGAGAATTAGAGGGGTAAGGGTAGGTTGAGATAAAAACAATTTAATAATTGAAGTAAAATTAAAATAATAATGATAGTAATAATAGAAAATACAAACAAGTAATGCACAGTGTGATTGCTTACCACCCACTAACCGATGCCCAGCCTGTTCCCAGCTAGCAAACCCTGAGAAGAGAGAATCCTGAAATCCTGATCCCAGAAATGAGACTGAGGTTCCTGATCAGCCCTTATCTATATACTGAGCATGATATTATATGATATGGAATATTTAATTGGCCAGCTTGGGTCCATGGCTTTGGCTATGCCCCCTCCCAGCTTTTTGTGTACCTGTGTACCAGCAAGATATGGGAAGTTGAAAAGTCCCTGATTTCTTAGCAACAACTGAAAACATCAGTACGTTATCAACATTCTTCTCATATCAAATCCCATGCTGAATCCAAAACACAACACTGTTCTAGCTACTAAGAAGGAAAAAAATAATTAGCTCTATCCCATCTGAAACCAGGACAACGTCCCAGAGGTAAAAGACATGGTGTCAGGTGTTGTATGCTGCACTAGAAAACTATACATCCTTTTTCTTTTGTTTGTAGACAGACTTGGAGGAAGAAAGACTGAGGCGAAAAATAGCTGACAGGACAATGAAAGAAAAGCTACGCATCTACTCTCTGAGGATATTTATAAATATAATTGTCATTGCAGTTTTATCAGGATGTTTTTACTCTATTTATAGAGCAACTGTCTTCTCTCAAGAAAACTCCAATGTAAGTATCAGAGATGATGTTGGGACAGATTCAGTTGGGGCTGGTGATTACAGCAAGAGGAACTATTGTAAAAGCGTCAAGTATCTTAATATAGCACCTTTCATGCAAGGGATCTGAAAATGCTTTCTAGAGACCTAGAATTTTTTTAGTAGGAGAGACCAAGGAAGATCAAGAACCGTATGCAAAAAAAACCCAGTGATGCCTCCCTTCGCAGAGGTTTCAGTGCTGTGTTCCTTGGAGCTAATGCAGCTGACAAGAAAAGCAGCCTTCACTTTCCTTCCTGTGTAACTGTTCTTACCTCACTGTGATCTGCTAGTACAAGTGCTTGTGTGTCTGAGCAGTGAGCTAGCTGGGGGAACTGATCTGGTTAAAACAAACGTTGTTGTGATTGGTTTCTTGATCTGGTTCACTGCTCAACTGCAAAAATAAACCGTGAGGGAAGGGGAGAGTAAAGATTATGATCTGTATTGTGTCTTGAGTTACAGCTGTGTGGGGAAACAGGAAGGCTTTGAACACAGAGCACTTTGCAGAAGAGAAGGTTCTTGCATCAGCAGTGGAAAGAATTGGGTTGGCTGGGGTTGTTCACCTCTGGCAGGACAAGTGAATGGGAAGAGTTGTTCAGAAGCAGAGCAACAAGAACAGACAACAGTTTCAACAGTTTTGCAGCAATAATTGACTTCTCTGTAGGACTCCAGGGCTAAATTAGCCTGATGTGAATGGAGACCACACATTTTCTCTTCCCTCTGCTCATTGGTGATCTGATGGATACTGGCTCTGTATGAGGAAAGTTGTCTTCATGGTGGACCTAACTTCTGTAAACTGTCAAGATTGCAGAGAGAGAAGTAGGAAATGGGGACTAAAGAAGTGTTTGTGTCAGAGGTATTGTTTGAGGACAGAGAAAGAGGATAGCACAACACTGAACAACTCAAAAAGCAGCTTCACCTGCTCTGGGCTTTATGTATAAGGGTTGGTATCTTCACCTTGCCTAAATGAGTAGGTAGAGGACCTTGTTAAGATGGTAGGAAAGTCAGGGGAGCTGCTTGGCACCAGTGAAAATAACTTGAAAAGTGTCTGCACTTTGACATAGGTGTACAAGCTGGTAGCCTTAGTGCTGGGTTAGACAGCACGGTCAGACACAAGCCTTGGTGAGATGAGCCTCTTCAAACAGAAGCTTTGGGGAAGTCAAAAAAAAAATACTCATACCTGGAGGTGGAGGGAGTTACTGGTGAAGAGAGTGGGAGAAAGCAAGGGTGTGTGGCGGCAGACTGCAGAGATAGCAGTGGTCAGGTTTGTAGTTCCAAATATAGGTAGAGTATGAAGACAGAGTAAAAGATGTTACCTGAATCCTGGATGAGAGAGGCTGGTGGGTAGCTGGAGGGAGCACTATGTCAGGAAGGTGTGTTTCTCTGAGTATTATCTTTCTTTCATCTCTTCTTGTACAGGAGGTCAACAATATGAACTTCCAGGCTAATCTCTTAGTGCAGTATTTGCCTTCCATGGTGATCACATTGGCCAACTTCATTGCTCCTCAGATCTTCTCATTTCTGATCAGATTTGAAGATTATTCACCAGCCTTTGAAATCAGGCTGACACTCATGAGGTAAAGACATTTTTATTGTGGCCTTGGATGTTTCAACAGCTTGTTCTTGGTAGGTTATAAGTGTTGTAAACATTGAAAATCAGGAGTCAGAGAGGTTGGACTCTCTGCTCTGGAGGCCCTGGACACTGGAAGCCAAGCAGGCATTGTTTGACTTGCATTTAGTTGGAAACTTAATTTTTAAGTCTGGAAACAATCTCCTGTTTTGATGACAGTACAGTGCAGTCATTTTAGTGTCCAAGTTTTTCTCTCACTCCCATTTAGCTGTGTAATCTGGACATCTTCAACAATCTGAATAAATAGTCAGTGAAGAAGTGGTGGCTGCAGAGTTGTGGATTCACACCACTTTGTGTGCAACAGTCCCTTGAAAGAAAAAATCTGTGTGTACAGCAGTGACTGAAGCACAGCTTTGCTCAAAGCAGAAGTAAAAAGTTTTGAGCTAAAGGATACTTCAGTGTGAGAGCATTAAGACTTGGCATTTGGCTGCTTAAAGCAGTAAGATCTAGTTTGACACACCTGAACTCTGCAAGACCCTGTGCTTTGTATTTCTGATTTGGCTACATGCCTCTGAAGGCCTGAAGCCGCCTGAGAGGGAAATGCTACACATAGAGATGTCACCTGGCCTCTCAAGCTGTACTTGAGAGAATCACAGCCTGTTGTGGCATCAAGGTCTACAACTGAAGTGGATGATCTAGGAACAATACTGAGAAAAGAAACAAGGGACTGTAGCCTAAAGCAGGGAAGGTGAAAAGCGATTTAATTTACTACTGAGGAAGGAAATGTGTTTATTATCTAGCTGGCTGTTCCATTAAAGCTCTGTACAACCCTTTTGTATTTCAAGCCTTCCTTGGACTCCTGTGCAAGTTGAGCCAGGTGTTAGAATGGTTCTTTTTCAGCAAGTTTGGAATTGGATTTTGCCTTTCTTCCAGGTGTGTCTTTGTGCGATTGGCCAATATCGGTGTTCTCTTGTTCTCACTGTGGAGTCAGATCTCCTACTGTGCCACCGACATGTGTAAGGCTTGTGGATACAATTACGAACTCTATCCTGTAAGCAGATTTATCTTGGTCTTTAATCATATGAACTTGTGAATAGAGATTTGTTTTCCATGAGACTTGCTCGTCTGCAGGTGTTTAGAATCAGACCTAGGGTTGCTGTTCATGTTATACCCGGTGCTGATTCTTCCTGCTCAGTGGAAACCAGTACAGTTCTTATTTATATCTTTTGTTTGTCTAAAACTCTGATTAGAATTAGTCTGGTGGCAGATTATCGTTTAGCATAGACTTTCTGACTATCATGAGGATTGTTTGAGGTAGCTCTGTTTTGGAGACAGCAAATGGTCTTTCCTCAAAAACACCAACCAGCCAAAGCCAAACAAAACCCAACAAAACAAACAAATAAAAAGCTTGGCATGGAAGCTCTGAAACACCTAAATATTTTAGAAATTACTGTTAATAGAGTTTGAACTTTATGGTGTTCACTGAGATGTTTGTTGCTTTAGTGACTGACAGACTTATTTTTCACTTGTTATTTAGACTCCTAATCTTGTTTTTCCTGACTTGTTTTTATAGTGCTGGGAATCTGAAGTTGGGCAAGAAATGTATAAACTGATGATATTTGATTTTATTATAATTCTTGCCGTGACTGTGTTTGTGGACTTTCCTAGAAAGTAAGTATCTCTGCCTTTTGAGCATACTTTTGCAAATGACATATGAAACACATTTTCTTTTTTCTGTTATTAATTCCCCATATTTCTCACCAGATTACCAGTTTTAAAATAAAACATAAACATATTTCTGGTGGTTTGAGCACTTGTTTGCTCTTCAGGTGGCTGTGTAGTTTTTGATATTTGAGTCTTTTTTTTTTTTTTTTTTTCCTTCAGACGTTTTCCTGTTATGTTGTCTAATAATTAAATGCTAAATATCAGTGCACTCCAAATGTGTTAGAATTCAGCTAAGCTTTGTAACTTCAATTTAGAACTAATGGTATTCTTTGGTTTTAGGCTTTTGGTTACTCATTGCTCTTGCAAGCCAGTTCAGTGGTGTGGATTGCAGGAATTTGGAATTTCTGACAATGTCCTGGAAATCATTTATGGGCAGACTATCTGCTGGATTGGAACCTTCTTTTCACCACTTCTCCCTGCAGTAGCAACTATAAAATACTTCATCATCTTTTACATTAAAAAGGTAATGAAGGTGTGTGGTAAACAAACAGAATTGATCACATCTCTGTGGGTTTTCTAATATAGGTATGCAATCAATTTAAAACAAAGAAAAAACCCTAGAAACACCCAAGGATGCGGTGTACTGGAAAATGAGGTAATGGCATTCAATTTTCTGTAGGTTTTTTGCTTTTAAGAGAAGGTGGAATTTTGCTTTGAAATCAAGCAAACCAACATTTTAATAACTATCTCTTCAGTTATTTTGTTAATAAAATTTGTTTATGTAATAAAGCTAGTTTATAATGCTTTTCTGCAATAGTCTATTTACTAGCAACACAGCTTAGAACTCAGACAAAATTTTGCCAGGCTGCTAACAATTTGGAAGCAAAGTGGAAAGTCCAGGCTGGGTTGAATATTCAGGATGTGATTTCTGCATATCAGAAGCTTTGCTTTATGACCACACAGTCATACGTGTGTCTAAACGTATGTACGTCAAATTCTTACTGATACTTTAGTTCTTATCAGAGGGGGTATATCCAGTGGAGATGTGACAGAACAATGTGGCTGTGCCATTGATCATACACCAGATCACTATGTCAGTTGACTCTCTGCAAGTGTATGGAGCCCTCTGGATCAAATTCTTACTCAAAATAGGAGACATTGACTTATATCAAAATGCAAAGCGTTCTTGTCTTAGCCCTTTTCAGTCCGTGTACATCAACAGAAGAATGGTTATGTGGTAGCTGGTAGCATGTTTGAGAATGAAGAATTCAGTTGGTGGAGAAAGTATACTTGGATGTATGTATTTAGATGTACTGGTAACAGTTTTGCTCACTTTCCCTCTTCAGATCAGTTTGATACACACATGTAAACCTGCAGCTAGGCCTATCAGAGCATCAAGTTCCAATTTTTTCTTCTTGGTGGTGCTGTTGATTGGGCTCGTCTTGGCTTTTATTCCTTTGGGAATCAGCATAGCACAGTAAGTGACAGTTTAACTTCTATGAAGTTGACATTTGTTCTAAGGTTGTCAGTTCCCTACAAACAGGCACACAATTTGGAATGATAAATTGGAATAAAATACATAGTGTATAATAAATTATAGCTTAGTTCATATAAACAAAATTACAGTTTTAAAGACAAAGAGCACTTTCACCCCATCATCAAAATAGTGCTGGGCTTGTGTTGGTTTATTTTATCTTTACATTTTGGTGTAGCATCTCCTTTCTGGTTTTCTTCTTTGGCAGTATCCCCTCCTCCAAGGCATGTGGGCCATTCAGGAGTTTTAACACTTCATGGGCAGTTGTTCCAGCTACAATACTTGAGTTTCCGACAGGTCTGCAGCAGGTCCTTTATGTCATAGCATCAGAAGCCTTTGCAGTGCCTTTTTTTATGGTCATTTGGTGAGTAACATGGAGACCTGATTCAGTCATGCAGCTGCATGGTTCATTTCCTTCCCTACTGAACTGATACCGAACAACTATTAGACCAGATTCTCCATCTGCAGTCAAAAGCATCAAAGCCCATATGAATCCTCAGCTCATAAGTCTTTGCCTGTGTGTTCACACTCATTAGCTTTATTCCATTTTCTCTTGCATGTCCGATATCCCACACTTGTCTTTCTTGAAAGTATTAACTATGAATCATTCTGCAAATCAGTATTGTAAGCCATTTGATCACAAATCCTATCTATAAACATTGGTTTAAAAACCCTAAAAAACAACAACAAACAAAACCCTCAAAACAGTCATTCTGTAAGATAAAATTCAATACAGAATCACGGAACTGTTAAGGTTGAAAGTTACCTGTAGAGATCATCTAATCCAACCCTCCTTTCAAAATAGGGTCAAGTAGAGCAGGTGCTTGGGAACCATGTCCGGTTAGGTTTTGAATATCTCAAGATGCAGACTCCACAACCTCTCTGGGTAATCTGTTCCAGTGTTTGGTCACTTGGAGTAAAAAGTTGGGGTTTTTTCCTTATGTTTAAGTGTAATTTCTTGCATTTCAATTTAACCCAACTTTTTTCAGATCTTGGAGCCTTGTTACCCCATATCTTCTACAACTTAGATGCCTGAGAAATCATGCATTTTATTCTAGACTCCACCCAGCCTTTTCATCCATAACACATTTATGTGTTCTCCTCAATGGAACCTGTTATTGTATACAGAGGAAATATCAAGTCCTTTTTGTTGGTTTGGTTTGGTTTGTTCTTTTCATTTTTTTTTCCTTTATCATAAAGCCTGTGTAAGAGGTAGAGGATGACTTGAACTGCTACCCAACTACTTATATGGAAAAGAAAATACATGATTTATATAGGCATCTGTGCCATTCTAGTTCTTGCTGCTGCTCTTCATCATGTAATGCACTGCAGATAACCTGGGTCACAGATTACATCTGGAATATGTGCTATAAGGAATGGCTGCAATACTGATCTCTGGCTGCTCACCATAGTTAGAAATCCCAGTGGGAGCAAAGAGCTACTGCAGTAAAACCTCATTAAATTTAATTTCTGAGGAGCAACCCCTCAACATGTACACTTTGAGCAGGGCAGGAACTGACAGTCTAAACAGCTGTCAGAACGCAGAACATCTGTCAGAACATCTGAAGGTGGCTGTGCCTCTGTGTCCCTTAGCACTCTGTCCCTGCCCGCTGGCAGCACAAGTATTTCAGCGGATGCTTTTGAGCAGAGCTATGCCCAACCTACCCTAGCTGTATATTGATTTTTTTTTTTTTTTTTTTTTTTTTACCTCCGGCAGCTTCTCATCCAAAGCAAATGCACAAACTGACAATTCCTCTAGCCCATAACAGCCATTTTCTGATTAATTCTGTTTTGCAATAACATACAATGTTGGTTTGTTGTTTGCAGCCTCATCATGTTGTATTTTATTGCCTTGGCTAGAGCACACAAACAAGTGGTTGAGCAGCTGAGGGAACAACTGGTTACGGTAAGATTTAATCCACTTTTCTGTACTCCTGAAGTTTCCTTCATTGTGACAGTAATTGGGCATGCAGAGGAATAACAGTTTTCATAGTCTTCTGAGTACTTGGTGTTTGCACAGGCAGTGAAGAATGTTTTACAAATTACACAGGAAAAATAACTGAAGCGCTATAGTATTTCTCAATGTAGTTGGTTTTCTTATGTATCAGCTGCAACTGCAGTGAGGTCTGGTTATATCAGACAACACATGTGCATGAGATATGCCTGTGAGAAGTGGTGTCCTTGTTCTTCATCTGTTGTCTTGCTTAAATCTGCCTGTCTGCATGGCTTTTTATGGCCAAACAAGAACCTGAATCTTGTGCTTCCTGTCCCCTCCACCATCTTACCCAACCCTCACCTCTTCCTCCTCCAGTCTCACAAACAGGCACCCATCTCCCTACCCTTCCCTGCAGGCCTGTGTTTCTACTGCATCAGGTTGTTCAGGTCCCAGCACTGCGTGCAAGAGGTACTCAGTGGAGCAAGTCACCACTAACTAGTCCTTTGGAGAATGGTGCCAGTGCAGATATGCTGCTTTGTGGCCATCAAAAGCTGCTGCCATGTTTGACAGCATACATATACTGTGGTCTGTCAGACTCTGCTCTGGCCAGAACTTGGCCTCACTAGTAAGACTTCTCACTTTCTTGGGAAGTAGCCCGTTTCTTGGTGTGTGCTGCTTTTAGATATGGCATTTAATGACCCATCGTTAGAAAAACACTCTGCAGGCAAGAGATTTTTGAAGAGTAAGGAATTTAGGAGCAAAAGCCTTACTGATTTTTCAGGGGTTTCCAAGTCAGCAAGGAATTCTGAAAATTCTTGCATGCTTTTTATTTTCATTCACTGTTGTTAGGCTTCTTGGAAGTATGGTTTTAAGTTTTTAGGTGTTGAGATGCTTTTACTAGGCTCAGCACAGAACTGTTAATATGTAACCTCACATGAGATAAATGAAGTCAAGACTACAGTAAACTTAAAATTATTCAGGCAGTTCAGAGGGTTCTGGGAGCCACTAATTAGAGTACAGTGTGGTGAGTGCACCTATTTATTTCTAATAAAGAAATGAGCTGTTCATAGTTAACTTGTACTACTTCTGTTCATCTAGAGTATACTTTTTGTTCTGTCTTTGCAGGTGGGTTGTGACAAGTTGTTCCTAATTAAAAAGATAACAGAAGCTCAGAGACATCCTTGAAAACCATGAAAAGCCACAAGAGCTTGACTTCCTGAAACTTGCAGAACCACTAGATAAAGAGCAGAAGCATATGCAGCACCTAAAAACTGAGCACCCTGGCACTGTGGTCCGTGTAATGGATGTTATGATCTTAGTCTTGTGTATGCTAGTGGGCCTCAAAGTTTCCAAGACTGGAAATTTGGTTAATTTATACTGTTAGACCTGTTCAAAAATTTATATGGTAGGATGCTGCACTGCTGCTGCAATTTCAGGGTTGTAGGAGTTTAGGTCCCTGTTTTTTCAGGGATTTGGGGTAAAATATGATCAGAACTGAAACTCTGTTTAAAGACTTTGTACTGTTTTTACAAATTACGCTTTAAGAATCGGGAGGGAGGCGAAAAGGTGTGGTTTTACATGTTTCCAACTCACTTCTCTTTCAAAACCAAACCAAGAGAGATATATGTCAGTATTTAGAAATAGTACATAGGAGAGGAAAATATGGCATGGGTTTGAAATCAGTTTTCTAAATATTTTTAGAGAAGGTACTTTGATGTTTATTTTGCTGTGAAATATCAAGTGCAGTTGAACACTGCATAACTTCACAAAATGGCTGAGTAAACAAGCTGATAAAAAGAGTTCTGAATAAACACTGGGAATAGGAAGAGACCACCAGTCAGGTCACTGAACGGTGTACATCTGTTGCAGGGAAAGCTATTGCCTGGGTATCGACCTCACTACTGTGCAGTAGCCTTTTTTTCCTTTTTTTAAATGTTAGGGCATTACTTGTGTTTTATTCTTGTACAGACACCTTGACTACTGTTCTCTTTGTTCTAAAATGTGAATATTTGAGAGTTATAGTTTGGAAATACAGCATTCTGAAACCCTTTAATTTTGTTTCTTCTCGCTTAAATGAAATGATGGAGCTGTGTGACTGAGAGGGAACAGTAATTCTAAGTAGACAGTATACTGTTTCCTTTATTTAAAGGTTGTGCTTAAGGATTTTCTGTACAGAATGGTGTTTATTACTTGAAATTTTCCAGTAGCATACTGCTAGTTAATTGTATGAGACACTATTCTTTTTATATAACGTTTTGGAATCCTTTCTGGTTTTATTTTAAATAAATGAGCGTTCACTAAAGGTTTGGGTTGTTAAGATCATCAGACGTTGTAGTTAAAAAAAAAAAAAAGGCAAAAGCAAAATAATTTGCTTTGCCTGTGAGGGGGCGGGCCGGGAGCTCGCGCACCTGCCGGGGCCCGGACCCTCAGCTCTCTCGCCCAGCGCTCGCGCCAACAGGCGCTGATGTCACCGTGGGCGGGACGGTGGCCGGTGGCTCTTGCCTCCGCTCGATGGAGCGTCCTCTTGGTAACCCGCCCCCGTCACCATGGCAGCCGAGGGACGCCGGCCCTGACTGACAGCTCCCCTCTCCAGTGCGGCGGCGCGGGGGAGCTAATCGGGATCGCGATGCGGGGGGGAGTGATGTGTGGGCCGGCGCGGGCGGCCCGCGTTGATGACGTTTCGGCAGCGCGCCGGGCCGGTGGAGGCGCCGTGTCGGCGGGATGGAGTTGGCGGCCGCCGCCGTGGTCCCGGCTGCGCGGCGCTCGCTGCGGCATTACCGGCCTCTCCGCTGCGAGGCGGGTAGGGGCTCGGTCGGCTCCCGCGCCCGCCAGCCCACCCCCCCCCCCCACCCGCCCTGCCGGGCTTGCCCTGAGCGATTGGCCGCGGGCCTCGCACCGCCGCCCGGGCCCGCCCGCCTCGGACGAGGCCCCGGCGGCGGCAGAGCTCGCGTCACTTTTGTCTCTCCGGCAGGTCTCCGGGGCAGGCGGCCTTTGCCCGCCGAAGGGGTTTCCCTCAGGCTTTGCAGCACGCGGGTAACTCTTGAGGGCATCAACAAGCCCGTCATAGACCGCATCATCCGGGTGGACCACGCGGGAGAGTACGGGGCGAACCGCATCTATGCGGGGCAGATGGCCGTCTTGGGTAGATCAAGCGTGGGACCGATCATCCAGGTTAGTGACCCTAGAACCGATCGCTGTGTTTCTGTTTAATTTGCCTTTGGTTAACGATGGTGGGATGAAGTTGAAAGATGAGAGCGGTACGTCTTTTTCTAAACATGCTTAAACATGTGGCTTTATAAAGAGTGGTGGGATTACTTGATAAGGGAGTTACCAGTACTACAATTTCTTTAGCATTGTCACAAAGACTCTTATTTTGTAAATGTTTTTATGTTGCCTATTTATAACTATCCTCATCAGCCCTTCACCATTTTCTTTTTGTGATGTGAATCGTGTTACCTCTGCAGTTAGTGTGAAGGGCCAGAGCTGTTTTGGTTTTCTTTGGTTTATTAGTCTTATTGGAAATGTCTAATTTTTCTGTTTTTTTACTTTACTGTGATCTGGCTCTTTTGCAGCAAATGTGGAATCAAGAAAAAGACCACCTGAAAAAGTTCAATGAACTAATGGTTACATACAGAGTTCGACCTACCGTTTTATTGCCTTTTTGGAATGTAGCAGGTTTTGTTTTAGGTGAGTTTGTATTACTGTTTCTGTTGTTTTAGAAAGTCTTCAAATATGTAAATTATTTTTATTGCTTCAGACTTAATTGCTTGCCTATGTTTGGTACCACAACAACAGGGGCTGGAAGTGCTTTACTTGGAAAGAAAGGTGCGATGGCTTGCACAGTGGCAGTGGAGGAGAGTATATCCAATCACTACAATAGCCAGATCCGAACTCTTATGGAAGAAGACCCAGACAAGTACAAAGAACTACTGCAGGTATTTAGCTGACTTAAAAAGTAGTTTAAAAAAATTCATTAAATCATCTGATGAGACTTCAGTCTCTAAAAATTATATGCTCTGAGAATTTACAGTAGATCTCTCTTTGTTCTAACGCTTAGCATGCTGAAGTCAACAGAAACTTTAAGTTAGAAGGATGATTTTTCCTTCAGCAGCACCAAATTGATCAAGCATCAAAATGAAAATGTGTGATGGATTAGCTTCAGCATGTTTCTAGTAATTCAGTATTTTCCTTTTGACTTGGAGAACTGTGCTTGAATTCTGATTACTTCTAATTGAAAGAAAGGGTTTAGAGGGGAATGTGTAGTAACATTTTGTTTATACTGGATATGACTATATAGTTCTAGTCTTTAATATTATTCAGAGCATGTAGGGAGTTAATGTTTATTAGCTCTGCAAGAAAATGATTTCCGAAGTATTTTAGGCATCAGACTGGGATATGTTCCTGTTGGGTGCTTGTCAGAGACAGACTTGTTTCCACATGCAGCACATGGAGCTTGTTTGTGCTGTTTGATAGGACCTTGTTTTAGGGCCCACATGTTCATTTCCATCTTTGACCAACAGTATGTTCAGTGGTGCTTAGTTTAACATGTAGCCAGGTCTGGTTAATCCAGTTACTCTGGTAACTCCTGTTACAGAGATAGTATCTGAAATAACTTCGGTTGTGCTCACATGTGCACAAAGGAAGTACTACCCCTGAAAATAGATTATAAACTGAGAGGGCACAAAATAAAGAGAAGAAGCTAAGCAGCAAGGTTATTCACATTGCCAATATGAGGAGACCTAGTGACGAAACCAAAAGTGATATGAATCAGTTGGGTAGGGACAGTGCTTGGATGTCTGTAAACTCTGAGCACTTTATTAAGCAATCCTAGTTATCTACAGGTATCTCAAGGGAAAGTTCTTAAAACCATTTTGTCCCAGTTTAAAAATTAGAAGAGAAAAATAGTGTTCTTTAGAGTATGCCAGAACGGACAAAAGCCCTGTTGGCTTACAGGAAAACACCCTTTTGGATTGTCTAGCAAGCCGGGGACCTTAATTTGATTATTTAAATGTAGAATAATTTGTATGTGTGAAAATCAGTGTTACGAGTTACTATGACTATAGATTTTCTCAAAACAGTGAAAAACATTGTGATATATTAAACGTCATCTTGGTTTTTTTAAATACTTTTTTGAGCATATTAAAAGAAATTTAGGTTTGGGAAATGCTGTAAAGGATTCATTTCTTGCTTAATTGGAGATTCGGGTTTTCGAGAAGCTTTTAAGAGACCTGGACCTCAGATGCCTGTCCTGGTGCATACAATGGTCAACAGCATGTAGTTTTGTATACTAGTTGCCTTGATTTCTCTGTCAAGTAGACCTACTAATTAACTGTTATTTTTAAAGATAATAAAACAATTTCGGGATGATGAACGGGAGCATCATGACATTGGGCTTGAGCATGATGCAGAAGCAGTAAGTACAATGCTAACTGATGGGCACTGTTAGTGAGGATGTAGGTGTGATAGTCCTATCTTCCTTACTGCTGTGGTTTAAACCCAGCTGGCAGCCAAACCCCACACAGCTGCTCACTCACCCTGCCCTGCCCAGGGGATTGGGGAGGGAATTGGAGGGGTAAGGGTAAGGAAACTTGTAGGTTGAGATAAAAAACGTTTAACTGAAATAGAATAAAGCAATAACAGTAATAGAAAGTACAAATGGGTAATGCACAATGCAATTGCGCATGACCTGATGACCAATACCCAGCCCGATCCCAGAGAAGCCAAGATCCCAAAACCACAATCCTGGAAACAAGGGAGAGTCCCTTCCTTCCCAATCAACCCTCTCCTATATACTGAGCAGGATGTTACATGATATGGAATATTTAATTGGCTAGTTTGGATCTAGTGCTCTGGCTGTGCTCCCTCCCAGCTTCTTGTGCACCTGTGCACAGATAGGAAATGGAGAGTTGGAGGGTCCTTGGATTCTTAACAACAACTAAAAACATAAGTGTATTATCAAAATTCTTCTCATACCAAACCCCATACTGAATATGAAGCACAGCACTATTCTAGCTGCTAAGAAAGAAAACGAGCTCTGTCCCAGCTGAAACCAGGACACTTATCCAGTGATTGTGATGCTCTTTATTTGAGAAATAGAAAATAAGGTGCTTGATAGTCTTTGCCAAAAATACATGCATAAATATATAAGAAAACACTGGATATTATAGCTTTAATACTTGACATGAGTTCCAACAGATTCAGTTCTGTACTAGAAAAATTAAAGTGATTGTGTTTTCCTGAGAGGTGTCCTCTGCACAGTTTTTAATTTTATTTTAAGTTTGGATTTAATACTTTTTTAAGATAAGGCTAATAAGTGCTATCCATACAGCTGGGAACCTGAGGCATCATTTTGGTAGAGGAACACAACCATGTTAGAAAGTGTGAAATACTGAACTAAACTCTGCTCCCTTGAATACTGTAAGAGGAATGTATGACCTTTTTTTTTTTTTTCTCCTCTTGACTTCCATTTGTGGAGAAATGGAAACATTCTGTCAAGTTGATCATTTTTGATTTAGTTTTCTCTAAGGTAGATTAGGCTACAAATACAGGTGTGTTTTGATGGTGGGGTTTTTTTGGTTTGTTTTTTGCTTTGTTTTGTGGTTTTGGTTTTTAGGTAATGCTTACTATTCCTTACCACAATCTGGTTCAAACAAAACACTTCATTAGATGTATTTAATCTTTTATTCTCTGTTTTGCAGGCACCGGCTTACTCAGTTCTGAAGACAGCTATACAACTTGGATGCAAAGCTGCAATATTTTTATCAGAAAGAATTTAGTGGTATTTTCTGTAATGTTTGCGGTAATAAACTGGCACAAAAGTGAATGAAAATTGCAGAAGACTTACACTTATGTTATTCAGCCTTTTAAAATTTTTTTCACTAAGCATCTGATTTAGCCAGCCTTTGTCACGTTGAGTACTTGTTCAAAAAGTATCTATGTTAAAGTCAGTTGAGCTAAATGTGAATAAAGATAGCAGAATTGGGTCTGTATGAACTTAACCTCCATATTCAGAGACTGTTCACAAGGTGGCAGCAAAATATGTATGTATATGCATGATTTGTATATATAATATGTGTATTTATGTATACACACATATAAAAATTATAAATATTTTTTCTTTTGCTTTCAAATTTATGTGTACTTGAAATGAGCTGGGGCTCATCAGCTTGTTTTAAAATGGTTAATACTGACTAAGTAGGATATTTTTGAGTTCTATTTTCAGGCTAAGTAAATGAAGTAATAGTATTTATTTTGAGCCTGTGTGAATAAAAATTGGTATTATAAGGCTTTAATTTGAAGACT